GTGTCGGCTGCAAAGATAAAGTTGAGATGCTGACTTGCGATCTTCACAGTAGTGAACGCGCCAGAGAGAAATGCACATTTCATATGGATTACATAAGCAGAGAGTCTGTTTTCTCTCGTTTTGAATAGTTTTGTTTTAAAGTACACATTTCAAGCTTTCTATATATTTCTCAGATCTTTGAGGCAAGTAGCTTGCGCTAAGTTTCGGTTCATTTATGAGACGAGCTCAGTCCACGCGCCGACACGGAGCTCCTGAGAAGTCCTGATTATATTGCCTGCTATATTTACTGCTTATTTATTAAAGACAATTGGTTGATGAAACATTGATTAAAATTAAGATACAATTAATACAAAACGAAATTCACTTTAAAGAAAGGCTTTCTACAAAAACAAACTTAATGAAGTGGTCAAAATCATGTCTGCCCACTCCATTTGTCTCCCGATTGCGCATCTTATGCTCTTACTCATGCTTTTCACTTTTCATATAGCCTAATCAACATTGATGAAATTAAAAAATAAATGATTTTATTTAAACATAAATATGAAACTAAATCGTTTTCTTTAATGACTAGGCTACAACACGCAGTCTATACAGAGAAATTTAATATCGGAGCGGGATTTGAGCGAACCCCGTCTTACTGTAAGCATGTGGGGGTAGAGATTTTCGAGCAATCATCGAATATTATTTTGCTTGATATGCCAATCCTTAATATTTGGTGTTTTAAATGCCTGTTTGAGGTCTCTGTGAAAGATTTAAAGCAGTCTTTTAGTGCCGCTTTCAGAGCGGTCAAGTCCGAAGAACTGTTACGTCCATAACATTGTTTCTTTCCTCATAAATGCGAACACGAAAAATTCAATACAATTAATATTTTATGTTCTGTGGAGAGCCAACCCTTCTTCATCCGGTGGGAGTATTACTTTTGGTTTGCGCAGTGTAATTCACAGAATTGATTGCTCTGCTACCAGCCTCTGTCACGTACCATGTGGAGCTTGTGACTATTGCAAGCGCGCAGCTGAGGAGACAGTGTTGCTGTCAAATTTGTCCATGGGGAAAAGTAACGTTGTGCGGAATTGAAAAAGGAACTACGTTTCGTTACCAAATTTTCAGTAGTAACGCGTTACACTACTTTTTACCCGAAAAAGTAGTTACGTTACTGTAACGCGTTAGGCCTACTTTGTAACGCGTTACACACAACACTGCTTACGAACTATTAATAAGCAGTAATTAGGAGTTTTTTGAGGCAAAATTCATAATGTTTAGTTAATATTAAGAATTGGACCCTAATCTAAAGTGTGACCAGAAACTCTGATCCTCTTGTAGGGTTGCCACCTGTCCCGGTTTTACCGGGATTGTCCTTTTTAATAGCTTGTCCCGGGAAATGTATGCACTCTCCCGGGACACTGAATGTCCCGGTTTTCGAAAGGCTACGTGAATATGTTCAAACTGTGTAGCGCGCGGACGACAGAGAGGGAGAGAGCGAGAGACCTTGCGTGTGTGTGCTAGTGTGCGTGTGTGCCTCAAAATGCGCATGTAAGAAGCGCGCATTTAATCGCTTTTCCCCGTTGGGCGGGTCATCGATATGTCCCGGTTATTTATCAGACATAGGTGGCAACCCTATCCTCTTGTCTAACGGCTAGTTGGTCAAAGGCAGTTTAAACAAGCTAAGACTAACAAACCAGCTTTGGCTGTTTTAACTTAACGTCTTTGCCAGGAAAATGTGTTGTAAAGCAACAAACTACAATAACCTTATTTTTTCCCAAAAGATACAACATTTAGTACCTTTTCGCTTTGGTAAACGTTTCGATATTTCTTCATAGGTGTCATTTCTGCCCGCTAGCGTCTCCTAACGGAATTGTAGGTTAGTTTTTCTGTAACCAAAGTCTAACTTTCCCTGAACGTTACAGGGAGTTTTTTTGTAGTGACCTAATGAGAACTTATACAAAACGTTCTCTAATGATTTTAAGTGTTAATCTTATTATAACCATAAACTAACTACAAATTGTTAGCTGGGTTTCCCCCTTTGACTGCATCTTTGACTCACTCAACAACCTTTTGAGTTCGTTGGTTTTTTGTGTATCACTGACACCTAGCGGCAAACAACTAATATTACAGCTTTAAGACTTTTAAAGTCCCCATGAATCAAAATAGAAGTTTTTTGGCTTGTAGTATGAATATGTTAGTCTTACTGTTACCTATATTGTGACTCAAAACAATGGCAGTCTACAGTCTCTCTTCCGCCGATACGGATCAATGACTTTGATGACATCACTCTGCACTTCAGCTTCTCATCAGATTGTCTGTCCAATCAAATGCTCTCAAGAATCTGAAACTACATTATAAATAAACTGCATCTGAAATCAGTCACTTGTTCACACGATTACCATTTACTACATGGTGTGGCACATATTAATGCACTATATAGGGGATAAGGAAAGATTCAGACAGTGTAAATTTGCACTTTAATAGTATCGGACCCCTTTGAATTCTGCCCAAATGCTATATTTTAAAGCGATATGGAGGATTAGGAGAAACGATTAGAGATTAGGAGGAAACTGCTGCTTAACTGAGCTCAACGGCCCTCGCCGAGCTGTGATATAATTAAACGTTGTTGGCTATAAGGTGAGGAGCTGTTCGATATGTCTCACCCTTTTTCGTTTCAAGACAATTCAGTGAGCCTTTAGTTTAAAGGGATCATAGTTCACCCAAACATTTTAATTCTGTCATTATGTACTCACCCTCAAGTTGTGCTAAACTTGCATGAAGTTCTTTCTTCTGCTGAACATAAAGGAAGATATTTTGAAGAATTTGGGTAAATAAACAGAACCAAACGGGGGGAAAAAAGTCAATGGGGACCAGCTTGTGCATGGAATTTAAGGACGCATCTCCAAACTTAAAGGCATAACAAACTTATTACACTATTAATAATTTATTTACACAATGGCATGAAAATGACACGGAGGATTTAGGATTGAAACAGATAGGCTAGATAGCCATACTCGTGACAATTTAGATATTTATAACCAGCTTTTGACAATTTATTACCAAACAGGATATTTAAGAGTGAGACAAACCAACTAACAGCCGTAAAATTAATCAAATCCATTGCTAATAATTGATGTTTTGTTTTCCCACCAAACAAAACGTCTATTCCTGGTAGATTGTCAAGTCTCCCTGTAGTCAATTTATCCCTTAAAACATCTTTGATCACCAAAATTACATATTTAAATGTTTTTCCTTGAAAAAAAAAAAATCTTCATGCCAATGTAACTCTACACCCTTGCCTCATTTAGTATTTCCAGTTCTATGCATATGCAAATGAGCCCCGCCTCCACTCACTCACAGCAGCTCAGAGATCCACTCGCTGACGATCAGGTTAAAAATAACAGTATTAAGGACAACCCAACTGTGACATCAGTCTTATAAGCATTACATCCAACAGCCTATATTAAGAAATGCATGATGGGGACATTAAAATGTTCTGCTTTTTCGACATTATGGTGCAATTGACACAACCAGAACACAGTTGTACAAGTCTCAAATATTTTATTTCTCACTTTCAAGAATGACATTTGGTTCCCACAGCATATGACGCAGCATGCAGAGAAATGAAGAAAGAAACAAAACGTTGAACCTAAAAGCGAATGTTTCCTTTGTCCAAAATCCCACCACACCGAAAGTTATATAGACGGCTGTCTGACCCCCAGCTGAAGAAATACAAAACAGAACCGAAAGCAAGAAGCGTTAATAAACACACATTCTGTACAAAACAATTCAACCAAACCAATAACGAAAAAAAAGAAGAAAAAAAAGAGGAAAGAACAAAAAGAAGCTTCGCTGGGAGTGATGGACACCAATCCAGAATAACTCACACATTTCTATTTTCAGAATAATATTTATGGATAAATGTAGTGAAGAAACTCGCTTTAAAATCATTTCCATATTTAAACATTTACCAAAACTTTGGCAACGTCCATATATTTATATGTAACTGTCATTCAGATTATATCTCAAAAGTACTATTCATATGTAAACAAGAGAATCTCTCCCCCCCCCCCCAGAAAAAAAAAATCTACATGCACAATAGAAAGAAAGAAATAGAGAGAAACCCTCCCGTATCATGCAAGCACATCACGAGACCTCGACGGTCTTCGGGAAAGCCCGTCTCCGTGCAGAAGATGGCGCCGGTTTGCGCGGGAGATTCACATTTAAAGCAAACTAGCGGAGTGGCCGAACGCTTCGAGTTTATTCATCCGCATTGACAGCGTTTAGTTTGGTCTCTCCTTCTTGAACCCATCGATCCGTCTTTGAAATGATGAAGAAAAAGAGAAACTGATGGTCAGTCTGTTTTTTTGCCAACTTCGACGGCAACATGCTGCGAACCAACTCGATTAAAGCTTAAAAAACCCAAGCCCACAAAACACACATTCTGTCCTTCAATCCCTAATATACAAATATGAGCTACTAAGATCTTTACAATGCTGCCTGCAGTCAAGTTGAAAAAATTAACCTTAAATTTCCACAACAAATATTCAAATTAGGTGTTATTGTGGATTCAGTCCGTCACAATATGCACGGTATCCTCGCAAGTAACTACGATGTCGAGAGGTAAATCAAAATGACTCGTTTGCGGTGTTAAAATGGTAATAAATCCAGAACACACACACACAAAAAGTTGAGTTTACTGATGGCACGGTTCCATCCTACAGTAATATGTGATCTGATCGCCCCTCCTCCTCACCCCGACCCCTGCGATAAAACACAGGTCTTAAAAAGTAAACCATACGTATATATGTGCACAACTTCAAATATATTTACTTTTTATCCTAGTCTACTGTATATCAGAAAGCAAGACGGTAGATGAACTCCCTGACAATATTAACACGGCACACGTTCACATACACACACACATTCTCGGTAGAAAATTCGAATTGGATTTGCATTTTTTGCGTGAGATCGAAACCAAAAGAGGTGGAAACAAAAAAAACAATAAGCTTGTTAACAAACTTTTTTTAATCTCCCCATGACATGAAAAACATCAGATAGCGATTTCAATATTCAGCTATTGTATGTTTCGATTGGCACTTCATGCTTGAAGAGTGTTGCACTGAAATCAAGTGTCAAGTCATATATCGCTCGCATACATGTATTCCCTGTAGACCTAGATCATCTTTAAAAAAAGACAGGACCAAAATAAATACAAAAAAAATCCCCCCCTTCAAAAATAAAAATCAAGAACGTACACACACACACACACACACACTCCTCTCTTCCTTCTCCACCACACTGAATCGCTCGGTAATCGACAGAGACGACGTTTCTCTGACTGTCCTTAAATACCCGAGAACGTGGACAGAAGAATCTCATGCTCTATAACACTTAGGATGGCTCAGGGAGTACAGACGGGGAACAGAGGCATCATTCAGAGAAATACTTCCATTGAAAGAGAGAGAGACAGAGAGAGAGAGAGAGAGAAAGAGAGAGAGCGCGCGTGTTAGCGGAACGTCTGGAGCTGATTCTCAGAAATGGAGAAGTGAAAAAGAGGGTGTTCAGTGAAGGGCCTGTTTCGTCTCTTCACACGTCCACCACCATCTTTTTGTGAATGTCTAAGCCACCAACCACCTGCGGATAAAGGGTGACAGGGAACAAATATCAGTGCATTTCATAACCAGAGATTAAAAAAACAAAAAAGGAAGAAGAAGAAGAAAATAAAAGTGTAATGTTTCAATAACCAACTTTTTTTTTATTCTTGTAGCACGCTACTTAAGGCACCGCCGCAAAAACATACCAAAACTAAAAAACAATTACATTCATATTAATGTTAATGATTCTATTTAGTGTTTTCACAACTTCTGATCAATAAATTTATTCACGAGAACTGGACAACGATTTTTCAAAGCCGTTTATAGAGATAGAAACGTATAAAATAAAATAATTTGAAGCCAACAACAACCAATGCAGGGTTCGACATTAAGCCTTGTGATGTGCTTGTCCGAGTACAAAAGTTACTGATGAATATTGTCATCAGTGTTCTATCAGATTTAAATATGCATATTTTTGGATAATAACCTTATTAAATGTATGCGTCATCTTTCATGTCAAATTCTTACATTTGATCAATAAATTATTTATAATAATATGACACTATAGGGCCATTACCAATCAAATTAAATAATTTAGACTGCAAATTTTAAAACCGCAAGAAACAAAGTTATGTGGTTAATGTTTTAAATACATTTTTGAATATACAAATAAGAAATGTTGGACAAAATGCCATGATAACGTAAAACTAAACTGCCAGTAGGTGGCAGTAAGTAATTTAATAAGCAATTGAATCTTTGATTTAACCCAGGGGTCGGCAACCCAAAATGTTGAAAGAGCCATATTGGACCAAAAAAAAAAAAAAAAAAATTCTGTCTGGAGCCGCAAAAAAATAAAAGCTTTATATAAGCCTTATAATGAAGGCAACACATGCTGTAAGTGTTATATTAGCCCTCTAGTATCAAAATGATAAGTAGGCTACAAATTAGAGCTTAGATCGGGCCCAAAAAATCAAGCCCGGCCCGACACATTAAACATAATTATGAGCCCGATTTTAACCCGACCATTTTTTTATGCGTGGGTCGTTATAACTGACGTTCTCAGCTTTCCTTCTCCCGCCCGCAACATTTATGTTTTGTCCCGCTCCCGCCCGCAAATAGACTTTTTTCTGTACCTCCAAATACTTTCAAGTGTCGCCACCATACATCCTCCTGATAAATTATTTGTTATTAAAGCATTAAAACACAAACCACTGTTAATTTAACATAAAAGCAAGCAGTTTACTATGCGTGCATGGTTTGGCAAGACAGAATGCGCGCAAAGTGCGCTCTCTTAATAATTCCTAAAAAGCTGACAGTTCATCGCGATCTCACACATCTCTGTTATTATCAATGAAGCTGACTGCACAATGAATCTTTCATAATATCCACACTTTGTTCGTTATAATTAGAGGATTTGCCAGCATACAGAATTCAGCACTGAACAAAAAAGTCAGTTTTGAGCGTGAGGGGAGTCTATCTTAAATGCTTCCGATTGGCCATTGCGTTCAAGAAATCAACACATATGTCTGTGATTGGCTATATCGCTCAACGCTGCAAACATGAATAGAAATTCTGGCCTGTAAATCGTTTCTATTTTGTTTTAGTAGAGTGAGTGCATTACCGCACGCGCCCGCGCTCGGCCATCAAATCTAGTCCCGCGCCGCACTCTATTGTGTTGGGAGTGCTCAGCTATCTTTCTCTTTTTCCCCTTGGGATCCATGGCCCATGACACACCCGCCGGTTAGTTTGTTTGTTTGTCAGCCACCGGTCTGGCATCACGCCGATCTGACAGACACCTGTGTCACAGTCTATGACGTAAATTCTTCGTTGACAGAAATGTTGAAATTAAATATTTATTATACACATTTTTACAACGTTGAAAAACTTTAAGAATTTTTGTCATGTTTTTCATCCTACAGAAATTATATTAAAACAAAAAAATATTTTTTCCATTTTCAAATTTTTGAAAAAGCTCCAGGGAGCCACTAGGGCGGCGCTTAAGAGCCGCGGGTTGCCGACCTATGATTTAACCGATTAGTTCAAAACGCTGAATCATTCAATAACAAAATGCTGCTTTGAAAATACGCAATGGTTCTGTGCTGTTTGGTGAAATAGAATAAAAACAATCAATATTGTGTCTAAAATGTAAGTAATATTAACTACTTGTTTATTGAACTATAAATTCATTGAAACATATGCAATCGTGATAATATTCGGCAAACAGCTCCCTTGGTCATGTTATGTTACTTAACTATATCATATGTTATGCATAAAAAACGAAACATTTGTGAATTATTACCTCAGTAGTCAGTATGTTTTTTTATGAGAGCTTTTACACATATTTTTTAAATTTCTCCACGAAAGTCTCTCACGCAGAGACAGGCAGTGCGAGCCTCTCTTATTACCAGAAATACACTATCCATTATCAATAACTCTTTACACTGAATGTAATAAAATCAGAATCATTCTTGCGTTTCAATGCTACCCTAGTTATTTTTTGTCGCTGAAGTTAATTAATTTCTTTCACTTGCCCCTTGAAAAAAACCCACATGTCCTGGACAAACGTTAATGTCGAGCCCTGCAATGACCCTTTTGTTTTATTTTCAGCCTATATTCTCTTGCAGTGAGAGCTGAAAACGGCATCAGCGGATGAAAATGTGTCAACTTTCGCCGAGTCCCTACATTAGAAAGCAGAACCATGAGAGACTCACAGCGCAGAACTCCTCGAAGGATATCCTCCCGTCCCCGTCCTTGTCTGCGTTGATGATGGTTTTGTCGACGATCTGCTGCAGCTGGGTGTCCTTCAGGTTATTCCCTACCATCATCTTCAGCACCTGGAACAGCTCGCCGTTGGATATGTAGCCGTCCTTGTCCATGTCATAAATCCTGAACGCAACTGCAGAAACAAACCAAGAATCAAAAACATGAGAGGAAAGGTGATATAATGCACCATTGCACTACAGACTAGTTTTATGGCTTTTTTGAGGTGGTTTGAATCAACATTTTTAGTCTGACATGAAATAATTCCAAAAAATCTAATAATAATTTAAAAAAAAGTTTACGCATTTAGACATACTGTATATGCCAGGCCAAAAAAAAGTCACTGTTTGGATTTAAATAGGCAAGTGGTAAAGGGATCATTATTGCAGTGATGTTTCTAGCATGTTATATGTGTGGCAACAGTTCTTCTAACTCTAATTGATGGAGTGTACAGCATTTCATTTCTTAAACAACCATGTAGGAAGACACATGATGTTCATATTCCAGGATGACAATGTCAAGATTCATCAGGCTCAGATTGTCCAGACCTTAAATTCATTGAAAGTCTATAGGAACTAATGTTGTGATGTTATTTCCATCAAGAGGGTGCATCAGTTTTTGGTCAAGATCTTGTATTGACAATGCAAGAGTCCAGCGCTCTGTAAAGTCTCCTCCAGCACATCCCGAAGACTTTCAGTGAATTTAAGATCTGGACTCAGAGGAGCCGATTCATGTGTGAAAAATGATTCTTCATTCTCCCTCCGAACGAACCATTCTTTCACAATCTGAGCCTGATGTATCTTGACATTGTCATCCTGGAATATGAACATGATGCGTTTTCCTACATGTTTGTTTAAGAAATGAAAAGCTGCACACTCCATCAATTAGGATTAGAAAATATAACATGCTAAAAACATCATAATCACTGCAATAATGATCCAATCATAGACTCTTAAGCATTGCATTTAAATCCAAACAGCGAATTATAATTTTTTGTGGCCAGGCAGTGTATATATGTAAAGATTGCATGTGTTTTTATGTACTAATTTAATTATGTACCAGACACGACCCGTTTGACACTGAAGCTGTCCATCTCTTCAATTCAGTGCGATTGGCTATAATGTTTAATTCTGCAAAACGCATTGTATATAGAAACCTTTGACAGTCTTCAGAATGTGAACAAATATGCACGGACCGCTTGAAAGCAGCTGCATATCAGCGTGTACCGAATGGAGTCGAAATAGTCATGGATATTGGACCCGCAGTCCGTCCCTCGCCTATTTATTCCCGACACACACCCGCTTCTCAAATGACATCGTAAATATTCTTCCACCCATTACATCAAATATTAGCTGTTCACCCGCCCACGTGCTTTTATGTCTCATATAGTATCATATAGTGAGAATATGGAGCTCAAACTCTAGAAGGAAAAACACAGCTTCATTTTATTCATAGGCACAAACTGAACAAAAATAATGAAATTTGGTGCGGTTGCACCAAGATGAAATTCAGATAGCTTGTAATGTAAATTAATATGATTCTTTCCTTGAATGAATCAGCTGTTTGAATGAATCGTTGAATCTCAATGATTTGCTTATTAACAGTGACTTGCTGCCACCTATTGGCGGTTTCAATTTCACATTTAAAGTATCTTTTCTTTTTTAAAATAATTTTAAATATCAATATTCAATATTGCAAAGATGAATTTTGTTGATACTGATTTCATTTGATTGGTAACAGCCCTATTGTGTCTTATTTTTATAATTGAATTTGATTAAATGTATGAAATTGACACAAAAGATGATGAATGCATTCAATTAGGTTTTAAAAAAATGGCGTTATAAAAGGTAAAAATTCCCATATTAGGTAAAAATCAATTGAAACATATTGGAAAAAAATTATTTCTGTCACTGCTGTGAACTTACCACCACACAGCGTATGAAGAAAATCAAAACTTTAGGAGTCGGCTGTTCACGAAAGTCCTAAACCTGCCAAAGTACCAACAATAAACACTCTGCAAAATATCGTCTAATAATCATTATCGAGAAAATCCCAGAAAATATCGAGATATCATTTTTTGTCAATATCGCACACCCCTAGTTGTATTGTATATAATATCAGTTAACACTATTTCTTAAATTTATGTCGAAGTTAAATAATATTTAAATGCTTGGTTTTATGATCGGTAATTTTTATTGTGGGAGAAAAAAAACATGCAATACAATGATGATTGAGAGATCATCTGATATATCGATACTCATATTTTCATGTGAATTTTTAAAAAAAATTGATGTATGGATAATCAAGTAAACATAAGTTGCTTCAGTCCAGTAAGTGTTCATCTTGAAATATTAATAACAATATAATAGTTATTTTTATGTTTTTAAAGATTTCAGAGCAAAATGACACACGGCATCCCACGACCTGAAGGTGGACGTTTTTAGAATGATTCTTAAAAGCCTTTTACTTGCTGAAACAATAACTATCAATCAGACAACAGAAGGCATGGAGTAGATTGTGTTTCAGTTATCATGTTGATAATGTAGAAGCTTTAGAAAATGTGCACATCAAATATGATACAGTAGGGTTAACTAGGAAAAGTGCTGGTGAGATTCAAAACTGAAAGACTCACAGCGGAGCTTCTGCTCCTTGTCGCCCTTCACGCTGAACTGAGAGACACCTTCAATGAACTCTGCAAGGAAAAAAGACAGAGAATTGAAGGGTGAGGTAGCCATTTACACACTCCTGATGCATCTGAACTCCTCAAGTACACAGAGCACCTCTGAAACTAGCATGAAGCTTGTTCTTCTCAATGCAACAATTTCAACTGGTCAGAAAGCACATTTAATATTACATTTCCAAGGCCACAAAGAAACAATTTTAGGCTTTGGTTCTGCATAAAGGCAGATATGAATGGTTAAATATATGCAGGGAACACCAGACCAATCACAACTGATCATGCAAATACTGTAGATGTAAGAAAAAAGACTAACTGGAATTCAGTATGCTTTGCAATGTCGTCACGATCATGACGCTTTAACACCCTAACCAATGTATAACTGCACATTTACTGACCTTTAAAGTCCACTTCTCCATTGCCGTCTGTGTCGAATATATCGATGACTCGCTGCACCAGCGGGTTCTGTTGCAGCTCGGGTAGAGACATAAACTCCTCCACGCTGAGAGAGCCCGAGTTATCAAGGTCGAGCTTCTTAAAACGCTTTCCTAGTCTTTTAATCTCATCAGCGTCAACTGAGAGAGAGAGAGAGAGAGAGAGAGAGAGAGAGAGAGAGAGAGAGAGAGAGAGAGAGAGAGAGAGAGAGAGAGAGAGAGAGAGAGAGAGAGAAGAGAGCAATTCATTTCAATAGAACCGCAACACAAAACACAGACTAAATTATACATCCTTTCCTCATTCTCTAAGCTTTCCCTCGGCTACAACCATCAATAATAGATCTTCAAAACGTCAATCTCAAATGGTTAGGAGGATTGCACAAGTCTTAAAACACACACACACACACACACACACACACACACACACACACACACACACACACACACACACACACACACACACACACACACACACACACACACACACACACACACACACACACACACACACACACACACACACACACACACACACACACACACACACACACACACACACACAAGGAGGATAAACTCCATATCCAAGGCTCTCTCTCTCTCTCTCACACACACACACACACACTTCCATCCATCTTTGGCTCCCATCAGAAAGCCAGAAGGAGCCGTACCCAGTTTCTTCTGCCTGGCAGTCATGGTCATCTCTCAGAGGACTGCCGTTCAGCTACGGCTCAGTGTTATGCTGTGTGCCACGGACTGCTAAATTACCTAATCTCATTCACACAGCCACATGGTACACACCTCAAGTAACCAGCTGTCAGACTGTTTGCTGTTAGCGCTGTGTGGTTAATCGAATTAAACACCGAAATCACAAGAGATCAGCGATTCTCAAAGTTTGCAACTCTTCGGTCGCCAAGTGTCAGGGATACGATTCTGAGGCCCAACTCACTCTGTTCAACTACAGGCTGGAATACACTACACCATCGGTTCCCAACAGGGGGGTCGCGGCCCACAAGGGGGCCTCAGCGAGCTCTGTGGGGGGTCGCGTCATATTTTGAAAGGTTTGAGCAATGAGCATTAAATAAAAGTCCATAACTTTTTTCTGTTCAAAATGTACAAAATGTATATAATGAGCGAGTTCATCATGAATCCATTTTCCAATCCGTGTTTTTGTCTTATCCTGAACCACTATGGTACACCTATAATAAGTGTTTACATTGGGACTATTTTACACTGGCTCGGATCGCTGCCGCTGCGGAGTAGCCCAGTACCTGCGTGAATCGTCATAGACGTATACAGAGAGATGTAGTTCCGGCTACAATGTTCTTCCGAAAGACGCATTATTCTGTTAATAAACGCAAGTTTATTATCGCTCGCTATAGCTCCAAAAGCGTAAAAAATAAAGCCTCACATTGATAAAGCCTCACAAATAACATGCAAGTATTGAGGCCCCAGACAACAGTCATTTAGTAATAGCCTATATTCTTTCTTTTTTTTCCCTACACACCAGTGTGAATATTTTTGTTTTTGCATTTCAAATAGGGCCAATTTATAGGCTTCTCCTAGGCTTACGTTTTTAAATTACAAATGGCCTACTGATGTTTTTGTTATTGTATTTTCAATATTATAGGCTATTATTTGTGCATAAACATACCGTTTGTTTGAAAAAAACATATTTTGTCATCCTTGCTGCAAGCTTACAAGAGCGATAATATCATTAAATGTGAAGGGGGGCCCTAAAATATTTTCTTGGGAAAAAGGGGGTCTCAGACAAAAAAAGGTTGGGAACCACTGCACAACACGACCTTTAAAATACTAGGCATCTTGCTGACTTTGTAAATGGTTAAGTAGGAAAACTGGGCATCATGCACTAAATGACTTCCAAATCGTTCCGACAAACTCACACACACAATATGATCAGTATGTTATTCTAATGATGATCTTACTGCTAGTCTCATATAGCCAACAAACTAACACATAGAAAAACATAACTTTCAACACTCAAATGCGGTTTAGTATGATGGTGTACCGTTAGACCAAGTGAAACAGCACTGCATTACCTCACAAGTTTAATTCGTCAAATAAACTGACCTGCGTGAGTAATTCAGCACTTGCGGGTAAGTTAGTTCGGTAGAATTAAATGTCCTTATTCCTTTATATCCGCGGGACTCGCGTGTGGCGCTGATATCGGTCTCTCATTAGCAATCGCACCCTGCTTCACACCACAGTCACGTTAAAATGTTTTAACTCATCCATAAACATTATTAGATCCATCGGCATGACGACAAGTTCCATGATTCCGCTTATTCCCTGCGTCATCAACCTACGCCTTTGTTATTGTAAGAGGTTAGCGAACCCTAGTGGCGGAAAAAAATGACATATTGTAGCTTTAAACCTAAATTATGTAAATATCCCTGACAGACCAGATTAATCAGGTAATGCATACAATTCGGAGAGAGGCAAAGAGACGCATGCTGATTTCGCTGTGCTATTTTGAGTTTGTGGACACTTCCCAGATTACCCTAAAGCAGATGATATAACTGCTCATACTTCATATCTATTAATATACCATGGATTAACCCTGATACAGCTAGTGCCAATGTGTGTCAATAAACCAGGTGACTGTATTACACCATCATGCATCTGTCGTGCCGGCGAGACGTCAGGACAAAGTGTGTTATGTGTTAGGTGTGTCTGTAGATGCACCGATGTATTGGCTATTAATCTGCATTGGCCGATAAAAGCAATTATTTTCACTATCGGACGATTTTTTTTTAAAACAGCCAATGATCAGGGCTGATTGTCTCCTGTCAATCAAAAGGGTGCGGAAAAACGTGTTCAGGCTGCAACCCATACTGTGTGTGAAGAAAATCTCTTTTGTGTTGAGGGCAAGTTAATGCAACAGTAACGCATTGACAGTTGAAAATAGTGACGTTAAAGCAGACTCTATTTGACCCTGTGAATCACCCGTAGTTGTTGAAGCCAGGATTGTCAAATCTGCGTTTTTTCCTACATCAATCATTATTTGTAACGCCTCCCATTCAATAATCTCAAAGAGCTTTGCTCTGTCACTTCAGATAAGAAACAAAGTCTCAGCTTTCAAATTCTGTCCATTTTATCACAAAATTTTGACATGACGTGACAGATCTGTAGAGCGTCAGATGAAGCGGCAGAGTCTTTTCTTCTACTTTAACACAAATTATAGCAAGAAGAAAAAACATGCATGAACATCAGAAGATATGCTGAAAGATACAGTACAACTTACCGAAATGTAAGTGCAATTATTATATCAGAAAATAAATACCAGTTGAATATAGTAGCTCTGTTGTTAATTTTATTGTACCAAATGAGAGGGTTCCCTGTATAGTTTGCAGCATTATTTGGGAGAGTTTTTTTTTCCTTAAAGCTGCAGTCCGGCATTTTTCCTCTTTGTCGCCATCTCTGTTCGAAATCTGCAATTGCAGTCATTCGCGGAATTATCAACTTTACGTGGGTTGTAGTTCAACACCCTCGACACGGCACAGCGCGGATGAACACAGTGTTTGAGAAGAGTGTGCAGCTGTCAGTCACCGCGCCGATGTGGATATTGTCATTCAGAATCACAGATTATTCTTTTTGGAAGTATGACCAACATTAGAATTTTCACCGGGAAATGTCATCTGAACTAGTAAGAAACATTCACTTTTGTTCTGGTTCTGACATTGCAGTAAATCGCGCTGATTAAATCTAACAATTGCTTATAAGTTATCATTTCACGCAAAACCGTGCAAAGTAGCTATACTATGTTCTCTAATTGTTAATGTTAACAACGTCAGCAAGCATTGCGTGACTACATCATGTAATGTCCTTCCGATATTATCCTTTTTTTCGCATGGGTCCGGTTGCAGTCTCTTTTTTTCTGTAGCCACTCCGAAGTCCGAACGAAGTCTTTTGCATGTTACAGCGGGTGAGTCTCTAGTTGTCACTGATGATGATCGTCGTTTGAACCTTTCTGGATCCGCCATCAAATTGATAAGTTTAATTATATCAAGTGCTGTGAGAAAAGGCTATAAATCTCCACCTCCAACATCCTCACACGCAATATAGCTTATACTAGCCGAGACTCCTTCTTTATGTGTACAGATGTGACGTAATGACGCAAAGACATGCTCGAATCTCCCGCGGAAATCCACCAGTACCACTAAAATTAAAAACATTATTACAAGCTTACCGTTTTGCATCGAGCTAAGGCAAGCAGATAGTTTTGAACACTGGCTGGTTATGTATTTTATCAAATATGTATTTTGGATAATTTTTAACCCAAAAAAAGCTACGGACAGCAGCTTTAAGAAAATCAAACTATCGGTATCGGCAGATATCATTCTGAATAACCGGCTATCGGTATCAGCGGATCTTTAATAAAAATAAAGTTCTCACACTCTTCACTACACTCAGGCACTTTGGCATCAGCATGACTGTTGCATCACTGAGCCACAGCATTCAAACAATGTCGAGATGGGAAAATATTTATAGCACTCGGGTTAATCGTCTATGGTCTCTCACACTGTAATGGCTGATAAGGGCCTTTCAGAAAAGCCCCCTAGCAACACACACATCCATCTCAGCGGAGGGAGAGCAGTGGTGCACACGCTCATTAGAGAAATGTGTCAACTTTTGCTATATCATTTCTGCTGGCGATTTTTGCTTTAATCAGTTTAATTTAAAATGCGTCAACGACACTAGATAGTGCTCCACTGCGCTCCAACTAGACGTTTTTAAACGAAGAACGTGTCTTATGTAAATGCCCTTTACATAATACTTTATAAAATACTTTAATATTGAAGCACCTCCTCAAATTTGTTTGAAAGTGTGTGTGTGTCCGAAATCACCCCTATACCCTTAAATAAGGCACTATTTGAGGGAACAGCCATAGTGTAGTGGTGTGCGAAACCATAGTGGACGTTATCGAATGCACACATTCAATCCCACAATGCACCGCAATAACGAGTATACAACTGATGTACGCTCAACGGCTAGAGAATACCCATAATGCACTGTGACTGACCAGAAGATGGCGCCCGCAGCTGAATCACCCATCCATCCATCTTCCAAACCGCTGGTCCAATGTGGGTACAGCGTAATATCATACAGGCATAAATAATTCCTTTTTACTTGATTATTAAATTGTTTAATTAAGGTTTATGCTAGAGTTCATTACAACTGGAGCCGCCAGTTTGTTATGTTTCAAATGATTATTAAACAACAAGCGCAAACTATGCAAAAACAACAGCCCTTCCGGCGCACTCAGTGTCCGAATTCACTCACTCGTTTTCATTCACTCCTTCAAGTGGACTAATGTGGGGAATAGTGAGTGAGGGTAAAGGGGGCGATTTCGGACACATATACATTTCGTGTGCACATCCCTCTTAAACATGATGCCTTCTCATGATCCAATACAACAGTGTAGGGGTGAAATGTAGTGACTGGTGACCAGAATCATCTTTTCTTTTGTATGTCAAATAAACAGTCTGTGTTTGCCAGATACATCTCATCTACAAAAGTGATTTGGGATGATGTCATAAGTGTTGTGTTACCACAGCTGCTAATTTGAGAGGCCTTATGATGTCCTTGTGGTTGCCAAGCACCCATCTGACCAACAGGTGGCTCAGTTTCACAGCAGCGCACTCGTTATCACCCAGTTACAGTCCTGCACAATTCATTACTGGAACCTAACTCGGCAGCATAAGCTCCTGGGAATTCGGCTCGCCTTGACCTTTGACCTCCCACTGCTTTCATCATTACGGTGTTGAGGAAGAAAAAAAAAATCACTGGATTTGCCATGTTAGTGCCATCAAATATTTGAAAGAGTTTTGTCCACAAGGACACACACAAATGTAGCGTATTCTCCGCGGTGTGCTGTACGTACGAGTAAGACCCATCTTAATCCCATCTCTGTGAAGTTGAACAAGTTTATCATTTAAAAATAGCTAGTGAATTTCCCAAATAATTACAAAGACACGACATGTAACGCATTGAATTAAACATGACATTTTGAAGTAGAAAGACTGAAATGGTATCTGCTTATAAAACATACTTAATAATCTTAGTGGAGAAATTTCTGCATGTTCTTTCTCAATATGTGCAAAGGTTATGAAGTAACAGTAACATTAGGATTATTTCTTAAAGGGATAGTTCGCCCGACAACAACAATTCTGTAATCATTTGCTCACCCTCATGTCTTTCCAAACCTGTATGACTTTCTTTTGTCTGCTTGGAGCACAAAAGAAGATCCCCTTTGACTTTCATTGTTTGGACAAAACAACAAGACTTTTTTTTTTTTTTTTTTTTATATATCTTCTTTTAGTTTGGAACAGCATGAGTTTCAGAAAATGATGGCAGAATATTAATTTTTGGGTGAACTGTCCCTTTAAGTGGAAACAGTTGGTTCTTGGCCATCAAATTCACAGCAAAAAAAGGGTTATCAAAAATTCTAAAGCTCTCCTAAACGTGTTAGTCAAGAATTACGAACCACACAAATAAGAAACCTATTAAAAATGGGCCATCGCCTCATGATCTTTTACTCACCCCCACCAACTCTATAAATAAACAGGCTCGTGCTTCCTGCAGCCCGAGACTAACCTTTACCAGCTGGAGGCATTTATAGCCCACATATCCACAGCAGCACCCTTACGCCACCCAGTCTAGCACTGGCCCTCCTCCAAACCTGGATAGCCCCACTGATCCAGGGAAAGCCCTCTCCCTCATGTCTTGATCTTCCAGCTGATCCCAAAGCAGCAGGCACAAGTGTTTGAAGGACCAAACTAGACTACACTGACGGCTGCGTATTCTGATCATGTATTGACTGATAGAGCTGCACGATTAATCGCTAAAAAGATCAGATTAAAATACCCACGCGATCTTATTCCTAAATGACAACGGTTCAGCCATGTCTATTAATCTTTGACAAAATCACACCGCTGAGCCTGAAAGAGCAGTGGTCATGTATAGGGATGAAAAAACTCAGTCTTTTCAACCACACAGTATAATTATTTCTGTGTTGCAAATATTTAAATTACCACAGCCGATTACATCGTTACGCCAGTAGGTGGCGACACTTGACTTACATTTGAATCATTTAATCAAGAGATTGGTTCAAAAAGGTTGATTCATCTAGTAGTGAAACATGTGAAGTATTTATGAGCGAGTCTTGAATCATTTATTCAACCGGATTAATCACGATTAATCGCATCCAAAATAAAAGTTTGTGTTTACACAATATATGTGTGTGTACTGTGTATAATTTTTAATTCATAAATACCCACATGCATGTGTATTTAAGAAATATTTGCATGTATATACTGTATATAGACTGAATGTAGCCTATATATAATGTATATTTTATATAAATATAAACATTTTATATATAAATAACATATTTTTCTTAAATATATACATGTGTGCATTTATAATATATACAAAATAATTATACACAGTACACACACATATATTATGTAAACACAAACTTTTATTTTGGATGCGATTAATCATGATTAATCGTTTGACAGCCCTAATATATATATATATATATAATTTAAATTAATTAAACGCTTTAAAACTAGACTGCAGCAATTAACATTTAGTCATAACCTCTGGTAAAATGTTATTTTGTTCAGTTTGAATTTGTTAGTCATTCTCAATTTATCCAGAATTGTGCAGCTCTAGCGACTAACCACGGTTCATCTTTGTTTACGTGACGTAAATTTGCAGGAGGGTCAATTAATAAAAACATTGACCGGTGCACAAAAAAGTGGTTTATTTAGGTTAAAGTACTAAATCTAAAAAAACCCCAGCTAAATTGACATTTATAAATAATAAAATGACAAAAACAAAACAAAATTACTAAAAGTTGAATTAAAATGGAACATATTCTACTAATATAAAATGAATTAAAAATTTTAAAGGGTCATTTGATGCCATTTTAAAAGTTCATTATTTTGTTTATTGGGTTAATAGATTAGGTTATGCTTTAATGTTCAAAAAATACATTATTTTTGTACATGCTGTACATTATTGCAGCTCCTCTATTCCTAGTCTGTCTGAAACGTGCTGATTTCTACAAAGCCCCTCCTTCTGATTAACTCAAGAGTGCTTTGATTGGCCAGTTTCCTTTCATCCAAAAGTGCATTTGAAAGATATTTACTTTATGCAGTAGTCGTGCAATATAATGCAATATCTAGTTCTTTCCCTGTAGGAAGGAAACAAAATGGCAAACCTCATTTAACCACTGCCCAGGGGCCTATCAAGATGGCCACCATGTGGACTGACTTGCCTTAAAGCGATTTTAACCCATCCTAGCATACAAAAGCATCAGTTTCCAAACCTCGTCATCTCCTACATAATCCTCAATAATTACATAATCACCATTTTCTATATGTTTTTGACAACTGTTGAAACAAATCCAGACATGGACAGGTGGTGTTTAAGGCATCGTTTTAGATCTAGTGCTCGACCTGCATAAACTATGACTGAATTTCCCTATTTACTAATTAAATAGTAAGGAAAAGTACTAGAATACCCAATTTACTTACAGTGTGTGCACATCTCCAAGGGATAACTCGCCTCATTTCCCTGTAGAGAGAGAACAAGAGTCTGGATCAGCATGACAATACACTTCAAATGTTAACCAAGGGGGATTAATTTTGTAATGTCTTTGATACTGATTGAGGAAATAAATTCAATTATAACTACATAATCAATGATTTGGTATCATCAAATACCTCAAGTCCTCAACCAAGCATAATATGTTTTTAGGCTACTATTTCCTGTAATGAAAAACTTGTGTGTGTGTTGATGTTCCTATGTCCTCACTACATGACACATAGCTGTCACAGAGTCACAAGGGGAAAGGGTCCTCAAGAGTCACCACTATGGCACCTAACGCGTCTTAGTTAAGTAGATAATCAGATTTTCGGGGTGTGTTTACGGTGCTACAGATGGCAAAAGAAACTGGATTATTATAGATGTAAATGGTAGCAACACCAATATCTAAAAATCCTACGATGTCATGGTTTTCAGCATTCTTTGAGCATTTATTTTGAAACAGAAATCTTTTGTAACATTATAAATAGCTTTACTGTCACTTTTGAATTGTAATTGTAGTTTTACTGAATTTTGAATAACCTCATTTTGGGTTTCAGGGAAGAAAAACAATCTGGCATTGGGGATGCGTAAATGATACAATTCGATTTTTAAATGAACTTACAAGACAACCAGAGGGCAAGATTTCAACAAACGGCGTGATTATCACTAGGCGTGACACATCCCAGACAAAAAATCAAGTTGTTTCAAGTCAGTAAGTGGGCTGGTGCCTTCAGGAGCGGATTGCTGAAGGCCTGTTATGACTTGCAGGAAGAAACCAAAGCTACCACAACCCAATATAGAGAGCGGGACAGATAAACTGGGCCATCGCTGTGCCTAGAAGGATCTACAGCAACTTACCTCTCCATTAAATGTGTATCACATAGTTTCACAGCTTACAAAGTCAAGTTCCCGTGGGGGATAAGATGAGAGAAAATGAACGAAAACTGTAAAAAGGAGAAGTGTTAACATTTCTGTTCTAATATAAATTTCGAGCACACTTTGGCACTGATAAACATGTAGTAGAGGAGGTGTATTTTTGGCGCTGTGTGTACATGCTTGTTTGCACATATGGTGTGGAAGTAGATTACACCCGTGTGGGACAGGTCACACTTCAGTCACTGTGTGGTCACACACAATGACTTCTCTTATTTACTGTATTCAAATAGAGCCGTTTCAGTATGTCTCTCCCTCTAATATGAGTTAGTACGCTCATGTGCGCTACAATCAGACAGTGTTTTGCCACAGCTAGTAGGTTAGCTAAGGTTGAGTGCCCTGTGCTATTTTAACTTTAGTGGTAGAGCGACAGCAAATTAACTTAAAGTGGATTGAGGGTTTAGGATTACTTCATCTGGTTATATGGCCTCAAGCGTGAGCAAAGTCACCAGGCAAGGAAAGACACCTCGAAGCAAAGCAAAAGCTGGAGGAAACGTTCATACAGGGAATGAATGCTCGGCTAAAATGTAACTATATTTGGGCTACATTTTACCCTTGATGACATCACCACATTCCCAATCATTTCAAATATCCAATCAGGAAGTTCCTTCAGTAGGCGCATCTGTTAGGAAGCCAACTGGCACTTACTTATATCTTTACTTTCAAGGGAAACCCTTGTGATTTGTGCTTTATTTTGGAAGAAATACTTTAATAAATGCTTGGCAGATGAAAAGTAATGATATTAAATGAATACGCAAATCAGGCCTGTACCCATAAACATCAGGTCAACAGATACATTTACATAATGTTGCAGATGTACTACTTTTCAAAGCTGTTTTAAAGAAAATCCACCCCATCTCTTTTCTACAAGCATGCTAACACATCTTATTGTGAACAAGTCATCTGTGCATGTTTCATTTTTAACAAATGTTTTGACCTCGTAATGTTTCATTAAAAAAGTCATAACTGGCGAAAACAAGACTTTTCTCTGATGACGTAAGCAGGACTTCTCCAATCATTTAGTGCACTTAAACCCTGCTCCTTCAGCGGCCCTGTCCCAAATTGAACCCAAAACCCTCGCAAAGTCCACACTTTCGTGAAGTTACGCCGCTGTGCCGGTCGGGTAGAAGTCTGCAGAGCTAGTGGGTTTGCGGTCTCGGTAAAAGTGCACATAACAGCCGCAAAGGGACACTTCTGAAACCTAAAATGACACATGGGACACCCTACGGTCTTGTGGACTTAACGGACACGCACGCGGCGGCCATTGCAAGTCCACATGAAGTGTGCCATTTGGGACAGGGCTTGCATACACATCTCAACATCCACTGCATCGAACCAAGCCCCGCCTTACATTTGTTTTCAACAATCCGTTATACTCAGATGTACGTCACAATACGGAAGAAAATATCGCTCACTACTTCTGTTTCATTACGACTTTAAAATGATGAATCAATGCCACAAAATAACTAATTAAGAGATTCATCCTAAAGAGACAGCAACAACAAATACAAACCAAAGTTAGCTAATATACCGTAGTACAAGGCGAGCTACTGTTAACTGGCTATTATTTCAGAATATAAAACTTTAACATGAAGTTAACATAAGTTAATATAGTACATAAGTCAATAGTATGGTACTCTCAACTCTGCTTAAAGCATTTTACCATGCTAATTTTTTTTAAAAACAGTGGAAATGTGAAAATGATCCGATTTAGTCCGGATCTTAAGGTACTACAGAAGAAATGTTTGGGCCTGGGGTACTTATACAAGGGGATACAATTTAAGATGAATATAGACATGCTGTTGGTAGTGTCTGAGACTATAGGCTGATTCTGGGTCTGTGAAGCTAGTCCTTGGAGCACGTAATGCTAGGCTATACATTTCAGGTGTGCACACTCTTCTTTCTTTGAATTGACTGCATTGAATGCCTTCTTTTAGGGTCATTTGCATTAATACACAGATATACAGACAGAGATCCTCTCATTGGCCGATTGCAGCATCTGATTAAAAGAAGTGCTCCTTCCAAGTTCCAACTAGGGTCGTTTTTAAACTTTTACATTGTGTATCTTTTATTAGCTATCATTAATTATACATACATGTGCATTGTATCAGCCACTCTGCTCATGATAGCAATTCAGTGTAAATTGAGGCTAAATTCAATGCCTATACCACAGAAATCGGTACATAAACAACAGGTTCAGGGTTCCCACACCTTCACACCAATACATTTGCATTATTTGATCAGTCATAAACCAGTTTACTAGAAAACAATTTAAAAAGAAATGTTTTACTCATTTTTAGGTCAAGAGAGACCCAAAAAAGGGTTGCAGATTTGTTCTGATAGGATCAAGGAGGACAGCAGGGGGGAAAAAACGACAAAAATGCAAATAAAATAATATGCAACTAACCACTAACTTATAGTTAGGATAGCAAAATAAATATCACTTTCCCATATATTTTGTTTCCCTCAATGACAGTACATCCAATCAAACCCTATTTTGGCACAAATTCATTTGTCATTAATACAGCTAATGCTAATAATAAGACTTTTAGGATCAGAAGAATATTTTTTTTAGGTTTTGCATAACTGAGGGAATCCTGTAGGTTGCTTGTTTCTTCAGCTTACTGTATATTGGTAGATATGAACTGTATAAAAAAAATGAGATATGACTTCCTCTCATATCAATCAGCTCATTAACTGTCATAATTGCATATACAACACTAAACAATATTACAGTAAACGTGATTCATCAACAATGTTTCTAATAAACTCTATCCGTTTGGCCAATGATGACGCATAATAAATCCACTCTCAGATCATGATGTAACATTTTAAAAACATTCCTGTCACTTCGCACTTTTATTAATAACCAAATATTAGGTTTGTGAAGAAACGCGGCTTGGTGTGCGTGGCAGTAATGACAGCAGAGTGTAAGACAGTGATTGTCTTGTTATAAGAATAGAAATGCACATGTTAATATCAAACCAGGGCGAAAATGTTTTTACGTTCTTCTTATAAAAAGTAGCAAGTTCCCTAATTTTAGGACTTTTTATAAAACTATTATACAGGGTAAGTTGAAAAGTCCGGGTGGGTGGGGCACCATTGACTTCCATAGTATTGAGGAAAAAAACACAACTGTTTGGTTACAAACATTCTTCAAAATATCTTCCTTTGTGTTCAGCAGAAATTCATACAGGTTTGGAACAACTTGAGGGTGAGTAAATGCTGGAAGAATTTTTGGGTGAACTACCCCTTTAAGAAACCCTAAAAATGAGGGGAAAAGGAAATAATATAAACTGTTTTATGAAAAAGCATATATTAAAATCATGCCAGGGGATAGAAAACTTCCCCAAATGTAGGAATCCCCATCGTATAATTGATGGCCCAGCAAAGTCAACCTTTCCTGGAGAATCAACCAGTCGATTCAAGTTGTCAACGGATCTATTTTACGAGCAAACCAGCTCTCGATCAGTTTGACAGCCGTATCGATTGAGCCAAAACGTTACAATGTTTCTCTTTTCCAGCCGCGCCATTACAGTTGATCACTGATCGTTTCAAATACAGCATTTACACTAGGATCTATAAGATAGCGACGTGTTTACCGTGTGTGTTTCTTCTCAACTCATAGCGTACAGAGCCTGAACGTGGGCCACACTGACAGCCATGGCTCTGTTTTATCAACAACGGCTTTGATCACGACACCGCGAGCGCGTTTCCAGTCTGTCACGGCACCAGAAAGGCGCGTTAAACGCGCGATTGATACGACGCGCAACAGTATAGGAAGTATCTGCTATCTCGGGTATATTTGCAGCGGTTTAGCGAGAGCTGTTGGGGATCCTTACCATTCTGTCGGCGGGGTTTCTTCGCCTTGTGCAGGGTCTCGCGGAACTCAACTGTCGCTGACGGTTATTTTTTCTGAGCGATAAGCGCGTCGCTCGGATCTTGTTCTCGGTTTGAAGATTGGAGGATTCACTGCAGTGGCTTCGGTAGGTCCGCAGCGGAGGGGGAAGAGAGGCAGTGGGTTGAGCTGATGGTGGTGGTGGTGGAGGGACAGAAAGAGAGAGAGAGAGAGAGAGAAAGAGAGAGAGAGAGCGAGAGAGGCAGGGAGGAAGATTGAGCGGAGCGGAGGGGGGAGGTGCATTAGAACAGCACATCACATCCGGGTGTTTATGCCTGATACACGAACTTTTGCATCATTAACGTTGATCAAATGACTTTGCATCTCAGAAAGAGAAACATAGTATTTTGACTTTACGGAAGAGGAGATAAATGGATATTTATTGTAAGCTGTTATTAGCCTACTTAAAGGGATAGTTCACACAAAAGTACCAATAACATTCATTACAAAAACTATTTTACATTACTTTTCATTGTATAATAAGGTACTGCAGCATTTCAGCATGAACCAATACTGAATGCTGAAGGCATTCTCAAAGGGATAGTTCACACACACACAAAATGAAAATTCTGTCATTATTTATTCACCCTTATGTTGTTACAAACCTGTACGAGTTTATTTCTTCTGCTGAACACAAAAGAAGATATTTTGTCGGTAAACAAACAGTTTCTGTTCTCCATTGACTCCCATTGTTTTTTATTTTCCATACTATGGAAGTCAACGGTTTGGTTACCCATATTCTTCAAAATATCTTCTTTTGTGTTCAGCAGAAAGAAAGAAAAAGAAAGAAACTCATACTCATAAAGGACTTTTATTGTGAGGCCTGCTTTTGTGTTTAAAAATATAAAATTTTAATCGAGATTTGGTGGCCATTACTATATGCACGTATTTGCATCTTAAAATGTTGCAGGTGTGCGTCTATGAACATACCTTTGCAAAATAACATATTTAATCTGCACCAGCTGCCCGTTGACAAAAATAGCTTCATATGATGGACATTATAAGATAATCTAGCTATATCTATAATGTCTGTCAGCTATAAGGTATATCAGTATGCGTAGCTAAAAAACAACCAGCATGTTATTTTACATTTTTCAGTTTTTTCTTGCCTTATTCTTCTTTTGGTCTTTTGTCTTAAACTGTAACGTATTTATTAAAACAGCACAGAATTTCAAGCAACAATATTGTTTATATTCTTACAAAAACAAAGTCAAATGTTTGGCTCAAATTCACACGAGACTGATCAAAATCAAGACTGATATTTAGCAACACGCAAAGGCAAACAAACAATCTGAAAATGAGTGAAAATGGGAATAGAATTAAGTCAAAATGATAGAATTAAGTCAAAATAAAGCACTAACTTCATTTCTGATTCACTTCTAACTCTCACCAGTGAACTAATGCTTCTGTGAAGAAATAGGCGACATAGATAACAGTTTAAGCAGTAAACAACAGTAACACAAAATGGGAAATAATTAAACATCCATTCACACCATAAACAGGCACGCCTGTCATAAAATAAATAATTGTTTTACGCTGGTACCAAAAGACCACAATATTAACTGACTGGTCTTTACTTTTATAATATTACATTACACTAATATAGAGTATCATGTATAGCCTGTGGACGTTCATACAGCACCTTTTTGAGCAAGCGTTGCCTGTCTCTTTAACAGCAAATGACTCGGTTAAATACAGGCCTTCAGTGCTGTCTCATCCGAGTCTTGTGGAAAGATGGTCTCAGTGTATTTGTAACCATAATAGAGCAGATATGTGATGTGCAAATGACCAAGAGAGAGCTGAAAATCCTTTCCCATGGAAACTTTCACACAAAGTTTCCCCTATAACTCGTCTTTTTCAGATTTCACCAGCTCAGGCATGATAAGGAGGAAGAGACATACTGTAAATGAGGCGTAATTCTGACAACTGAAACTGGAAATCATGCATCGAACGAACAGGTGCATTGCTTGACTGGTGAACAGATACCCTGATGGATCCGCCTTTAACGTTCACTGAGGAGCTTGGAGTCATCTGTCCCGCACACAGCGGCCCCATGATGGTTACAGGTCATATTGTGCATATTTGCTGCTGCTTCTGTGCCGCTGCGCTCGTGTTTTACAGGAAGACCTCTTTGTTGATCCACATGAGGCTGCGGGTCTCGTTGGGCTTGGCCTCGTACTCGATGCAGTTGAAGCTGTTGCCGAACTGGCAGTGTTCTCTCTTGTAGTAGTTGTAGTATTTCACTTGCCACACCGTCTCAAACATGCCGGCATCTTTGAACTGGCAACAACAGGAAGATGGAGGGTTAGTAACATTTTATAGTTCAGAGTTCTTCATACGCTCAATCAGTTGTACCTCTTTGTGTGGACGTTTGCATGCTTGCATAACTATGCAAAATGAACACAATGCTCTTACTTGTTAACTATGTACAGTACATGTACAGAAGCATCCTAAATTGATTTAGCTCACATTTGTTTGGCCATTTATTGCTATTAATTTTTAGGTGTTACAGGTTTTTCTTGTTTGTCCAGGTACTTGCTTCCTATTTAATATAGATCAAATATAATACAATTCAAATATAAAATTGATTTTTTTTAAGTTTGTCATATGTTTTGGAGATTACCGTTAATGTATATTGATAATAACAAAAATCTAGGCTCTATATATATTTTTGGGCTTCAAAATCACAGTTACTATTCACTCCTATTATAAAGCTAGGATGAGCCAGGATTTTTTATTTTTTATTTAACTCTGTGTTTGACTGAAAGAAGAAAGTCATACACCTAGGATTGAGGGTGAGTAAATTATGGGATAATTTGACTTGAATCATTGACTCAAACTGATTTAAAAAAAAAATATTTATTTAAATTAATGTCACCCAAGTTCTAAACCTAATTGGGTCAATATGAAGTAGGATATAAATTGAAATCCAAAGGGTCATAAATCCTCTTCGACTCAAACTCAACTAGGACTCCTTGCAACTCTCTCAAATACCGGTTTGGATGTTCTGAAGATGCAAAACTTGAGGGAATTTGAGCAGATTGCATAAATGGCGAATAGGATTCTCCTATTATTCGGCTGTCATGAGACAGAAATTTCTTGAATTTTGGAATAAACTGCAGCAATTAACATTTTGTCAGAACCTCTAGTAAAACATGTTGTTTTGTTAAGTTTTCTGTTCAGAATCGTGATTTCTATCTTAAAAAAAAAAAGGGGGATTCTCAATTTATCCAGAATTGTGCAGCTCTACTACAAATATACGAGCAAAAAAAAGATTTGAGGCATCATGCAAGACAAAATAGTGTGGTAGGAGCTACGTGTGAAGTCTTATACTTAGCTTCAAGTCCCTAATCCCCTGTATGAGCAATTTAGCACCTACCAATTCCACATGATTTCAGTGTTAATTCTATACTCTTTTCCCTGCTGGTTTTGTTACCTCTATGGAGACCTGCACTGGTTGCCTGTCCCCGCTCTTGGTGTGTGGCACACCCTCAGTATCATAGGTGCCATTGTAGATGATCTGCTCCTCATCTTTGGACTGCTGCTCCAACGGGAAGGTCTTTCCACCGATCCCCATTGTGCTGAAAACCCATTTAAACAAATGTCAGGCTGAGACTGCCTGTTTAGACACGCGTCTGAAAGTCCTTCAGTCAATAAAACATTAAAGACTCGTGCACTGTAACCACACGGCTCGGTTTTACAGCATAAAGCGTTTGTACAGAATCTCCTTTAATGCACATACATAAAGCAGTCTATTTATAGGCTATATTATAGGCTATTTCTTTTCTTACAGGGGCGCAGGTGCATATTTCGACAGCATTACAATATTACGACAACACATCGAGTCCTAAGAGCTATTTGTACGCAACAACATATCATATGCATGGCTCATATAGGCTTTACACGATTCATTCAGTCGCGTATTCACGTTGAACTGACTTACGTGGCCTCCGCGCTACCCGGTTTCACGATCACCTCGATTTTGTATTTCGATCCTGTTAGCAATTTGATTGTCCTGCTCTGGCCGAACCTGGTCCCATCCACTTTATAAAACACCGGCCCGTCATTAGGTTGGATTTTCAATGAAATCGCGATGTTTATTATCGCTGGAACGTCGGCCATAGTTGCGAGATAACGGAGGTCGATGTGTTTCCAGGGCTCCCCGTCATTAAAGGGATGGCGGATCAGGGATGGTCCCAGGAAGCTGTTGAGAGATGCTGTGACGTCTACACAAGCCATCACAACCATGCAGCACATGCTTATGCATAAGGCTCATTTAATACACCCATTATTCTCGCTGGCGCGCGCTGGGTAAACAAACGCAAGCAAATAGGAATAACTACCCTACAAATTGTTTTTATATTTTCTATATTTGTATTCTAGGAGTCATAGATATCGTAAATAGCTTATCAAGCATTCGATTTAGATCGTAAACCCATTAGTTGGTGTTCATCTCATCTCCGTTATTTTCGCGATTAAAACAGTCCCTGTCCAAAGTGCTGAAACTGACGAATCATGTGTTGCTGTAACATTTGTGTCCTCAACATTAAATATAAAATGTTCTAAACACACACTCAAAAAGCTGCTATTACGTGTTTGGTGAGCTTGAAATATTAACATAAAATTAATATAATTAACTAAATTAACTATAAACCTTTTTTTTTTTAATAGGCTGTTAATTACATGATGTTTTTGGAGGAATATGCATTTTGTGATCATTTTTTCGTCTTTGTAAAAGCTTTGCAATAACAACAATGATATAAAACCATATCTGTGAATTTTGAATGGATAGGGTCATTTTAAATTATAAGTTACATACAGTAATCTGAGTAATCGCAGGTTCTATTCTCATTTAAAATTCATATTTATGTGTATCGCAGATTCTTCCCTCATAAATTAACAAGTTCATTTAGCTTGATATTGCATAATGCAATTAATTAGCTGTTAAAGACATAGTTGGTCTGATTTGACTATTAAAAACATACTCATGTACTTTTTTAAAAAAAAATCTACATGTCAACATAAAACAGCTTCTCATTTCATAGCATGACAATATTTCTCTGTTGTTTTAAATGGTTATGTGGTTATAAAGAAATATGCACAGAGAGCAGCAGCAACAGAATGGAAGACCGGGGACGAGGATAGAAGTATAGCATAGGGACGCATGATTTTAAATAATATATTAGTTTTTATAAAATAATTGTTGCATGATTTAAGGCAAAACACTTTTGGCGGTGACTCTGAAAATCAAATAAATTAATAAAAATCTCAATTTCAAAAGGTGCACAATTTTGTTGATCTAAAATTAAAAAAAAGCACAAAGTAAAACAAATCCATCACATGAAACCTATAAAATGTCATTTCCCATACAGTCTGAAGCAAATTTCATTAATGCAATTACAATTTTACATAACAAAAGCCACATTATCATGTGTTCTGACCACAGCAGAATCTTTGTGCTTTTTTGCAACACTGATTATAAAATCAAAACTTAAAAAAAATCATAAGGTGCACAATTTTGTTGATCTATAAAAAGAGTGAAGGAAAGATCTCTCTCTGTTCCAGCTTTAAAACGATTTCAAACCTATAAAATCTAATTTCCCATACAGTCTCTAGCAAATTTCAGTAATAGAAATAACATTTTCCATTACAAAAGACACATTATCATGTTTTCTGACCGCCTCAGTCTGTGTGTTTTTTTTTTTTTTGCAACACTGATTATAAAATCCAATATAGAATCCAGCAAGTGTTTCAGTCAAAAATTCTCAGTTGTAGAGGCATATCTGATATATTTCAGTCTGTTGGCATGATCCCAAAAGTCTCTTATCTCTCCAGTTCTGCCTCCAGTATCTCTCCCCAGGTCTCCACGTCCAGTGGACACATGCTGTTGGGTGGGATATCGTCGGCAGAGCGGATGTTACTGTACCGGCCCTTCAGCCACCTCCTCTTTACGCAGCCTTTCCTGTAGTTACGCACAAGAGTAACCTGGGACAGAAGGAAGAAGAAAGGTAAACAGACAGCAGAGGTTTAGGTACAAAATGAAGCAGATGTTTTCAGACAGAACATTAATAACACAAACCTTCCACGAACATCCATCAAGCCTGTCCCCGTTCACCTCTCTCTGGCAAATAGCCAGCACCGTAAAACAGTGGCTCCTCCACAGGTGATCGCTGCCCTCGATGATGTCATTCCAGTTTTTACAGGTGAGCGAGGCCTGGCACAAACTCCTGACGTCCAGCTCGCTGAAGATCCTCACACTCATCTCTGTTGGCAGGGTCTCTACAAAGTCCTGCTGAAGTGGATCATGACCACCTGGGACCATGGATGGGTCTCCTTCAGGCCTGAAGATGGCGCTTTTGCTCCTTTTGAAGACATTATCATGCATCTCTCCGCGTCCTAAAACAGTTTCAGTTTCCCAAACCAAGTTTATTTACACGACAGAACCTTTGACTTACAAATAAAACATTATTATTTAAGCAATACGACGCTAATATTGTCCGTGTTGCAGTATCTGTTCGTTACTGGACACAGCAGCACCAAAACCGTAAATCTAGCTAACGTTAGCTAACCAATGGCTAGAAGAGATTTTAAAAACAACCACGAAACGGTCACATCTATATAACTGTATGCGGTGCAGTGATATTCAAGATGATATTTTTTTTAAAAACATGTTATTTGTAAAGGTTCATACCGAAAGTCGCGTCTCGCTGACAGCTGAGGATTTAAACGTCTCTGTTTGTTTACGACAGAAACGTCACAAGGCAAACCTCCCCGCCCAGTTCTCACTGCGCATGCGCGATTCTTCAGCGCCAACGTAGAGTCCTTTTGAGTCTTTGTTATTGGTGCAAAATATGAATTATAGGTTACATTTTATATAATATTAAATTTGCACACCTTCGTCGACAAGAGCTTTGGATAAGTCCGACGTGCGTGTTTATACAGCGCATGCTAATGGTGGAGTTCACCGGAAGTGCTTATTCGCGCACGAAAAGTAAGCATCATTATTGATTTTTTTTCTTATCACCTTTCACGGTCAGTCAACACAGTGAGTTTCTTTTGCACTTTAATTTACATGAAGTAGCGAAACGTTGGGTTGCATACAACACTAACGAATTCGTAGTTAGTCATTCTTTCTCAAACTAGTAATGGGAGAGTTTGTACTGAGAAAGACAGCAGCGCGTGCGAGCACCAATCTGTTTGTATGCACTTTGTTGTTTTTTTATAGTTAAGTAAAGATATGATTCATATTCATATTTTGGTCTCTGTTTTTTCTTCTGCACAGATGCCAGGCTTTGAGTTGGAGCAGGTGGACGGTGGCAGTCCTATAAACCTTCCCGATGGAGAAACTGTTTTGGGGAGAGGACCATTTCTTGGGGTAAGCAAAGTCCTTTTAGGCTATATAAATAGTCTTTATATATCCCTTTATATAAATAGTCTCTGGGGTAAGTCAGTGAACCATTACTATACTGTGCAGTGTATTTTCACAAATATGTCTTGATAATATATCAGTCAGTATGCTGTATTAACCTTGCACAATGGTTCTTGCCTTTGTTCAAATTAACAAGTTATAATGCATATACTATAGTGCCTTTAGTCTGTTGTGTGCTTTTACAGAAATGCTGTTATAAAGTTCAATATGGCATGGAGGAATGACCCAACACTCTTAGGAAAAAAGGTACAAAGCTGTCACTGGGGATGTACTTTAAGGTACAAAAGCTAAAAAAAGGTACTAATATCATATGTACACTAAAAATGTATTTTTAAAAGTACTAATATGAACCTTTAAGTTGCTATTATGCACCATTTTGGGGTAAATAATGTACCTTTTTGCTTTTGTACCTTAGAGTACTGCCCCAGTGACGGCTTTGTACCTTTTTTCTGAGAGTGAATTAAAAGAGAGTGTCTTTATGTGAAGGCTTCATGGATAATTTGTTGATTCAGATTGTTCAAATATTTTGTCCTGTTGAATGTTTTCGTTGTTATTTTGGTGTAGTACTCTCACAACAAATGTGTTACTTTCAGATTCATGCATGATGGGGCTATTTATTTTGGAGTAATGACAATCAAAGCCCTGAAGATGGCACTCCACACTCTCAAATCTTAGGGTTAGAAATCTGTGACATTGAGGTTAAATCTCTTATGGAGTGGTGGTAAATATTATCTTCATTGTATTTAACAAACCTCAGAAGTCGTTTCTTTTTTTGAAGACCCGTTCAAATCAAAATGGGAGATTTTTGCCTTTTATTGTATGTGTGTTATCTGTCTATAAGCTAGTGTACACCTATATATAAACACATTTTTAAAAATCTCTAGGAAATATGTCAAGACAAGACAGAACGCTTATACGGGCAATTTCATTTTATATCGTGTGGTCTTTGAATCACCCAGATCTCAGATCTAAGTGTGTCATGAATGATACTGAGATACTGAAAACAATATGTTTATGATAGTGCTGGGTGCCATTGGACATTTATGATTGATTTTTTCCATATAAGAATACTACACTACCATTCAAAAATTTGGGGTCAGAAAGATTTTTTTTAAATGTTTGTGAAAGAAATCACTTATGTTCACCACGGGTTACATTTATTTGATCAAATATACAGTGAAAAATACATTGAATATATTTTAAAATATAATTTATTCCTGTGATCAGAATTTTCAGCATCATTCCTCCAGTGTCACATGATCCTTCAGAAATCATTCTAATATGATGATTGATGCTCAAGAGAACGTATTATTATCAATGTTGAAAACAGTTGTGCTGCTTAATATATTTATGGAAATTGTGATACATTTTTTTCATCTTTTTTTTCTTCAAAAGAACCATATATTTTGAAATAGAAATTTTTGTAACATAATAAATCTCTTTACTGACACTTGCTGAATAAAAATATTAATTTCTTTAAAAAAAAAATCTTATTGACCTCATGCAAATTTGAACCATAGATGAGCAGATGCCTTTTTAAATTCCAATTTAAGATGCAGTTTATCATTATATTGTTTTGCAAAGATGTATATTTCTGTTTTTTTCTCTGCACCAGGTGAATGATAAGAGGGTGTCCAGGAACCACTGCGTCCTGGAGAACCAAAACGGCCTACTGCGTCTGAAGCCTGTAGGTTTCTGCTAGTTGTCTGATGTGGGCAGAGAGTCGTGATGGTGGTCTTGTCATTTTAGACCCTTATGCCGAACAAAAGCGGCACTGGCCTTTGATGTTAATACATCAAAAGTTCGCGATGAAGAGCTCTTTCTCTCTTTCGCAGCTGTCACTCTTAATTACATGTGTCATTACTGCCTCTTAGTCATGCTGGCATAGCAGCGATGATTGCATTTGGGTAATTTTCACCTCGATTGATCTTTTGACTCTTGAGTTTTTAACCAGCCCATGTTTTCAAAACTGCATTAATCTCATGAATATTCAGATTATTAATAGCTAATTGAATTAAATCATTAAACACACTATAGGCAAGTATGCAAATGTTTCTAGCTGCACAAGCTCAATTCAGTTTTGTTAATGTTGTAACTAAAACTATTTAAATTTTGGTAATGCATTAGGGTCTCCTTTGTTAACATGTATTAAGTACCTGTTATTGGTTGACCTGATTGGTTACAAGGTAGTGTGTGACGTCAGAAACACCAGCGATTTCGAACCGTGTTTTTGAGACTGTCTTTGGTTCACTGCAGTTTTAAGGAGAAAATACTCAGCAATGCTGTCGACTTATGAATTTGCACATGGTTTGTCTTAAAGCATATTAAAAACACCACATAGGCAGACATAAACAACATTAAAACAAAAAAACATTGTAAAGTGTCACCAAAATTATTTTCGAAATAATTATTATTGAAATAATATAGTATAAATATTAGATGAAATGTTACTTTAAACATAACAAACTTAAAATAAAATTAATTGAAATAAAATAAATAAGTATTTTATACTTTAATAAAATAGTAATAAAGTGCTAAAATTACTAAAACCAAAAGTAAAGCTAAATGGAATTATCTTTTTAGTCATTTTTTAAATGACAATAGTGCATAACAAAATAACAAAGTTAAACTAAAAATAAAAACTGATTCAAAATATGAATACATATTATAATAGTATATAAATAATGGTAACATGAGATCAGCTCAATTATGTGACTTAATTTGAGAGAGATTGTCCAAGCTGTGTATCAGCGTATCTCGATGACGAATCAATAACAACACAATATGGCAAAATAATTCAATATGGTAAAGACCTGTGCAAAAGGAGTTGTTATGTGCATGTGACTGACCCGAATTCCTCTTGTTTCTGTCCTCCAGACACACCTGAACCCGTGCTTTATTCAGACGAACATTGTGGCCAGCCCTCAGCCGCTGGAGAAGGACCAGTGGCACCGCCTAAAGGAAGGGGACATCTTCTCTCTCATGCCCGGGAAATACGTTTACAGAGTGCGCCTCAAAGAAGAGGATCAAACCCTCAGGTGATTCAGCCTGTCACTAAAAGCCGCTCATTTATTATTCAACAACAACAACAGAGCCGAATCTGGCTGGCCGTGCGATGATATGATTTTACAGTGTACAACATGTTTGCAACAACCTCTCTATTTATTTCACCCTTTAAAAGAAGGGGTTAATATATTATTGACTCAATTTACCTTCTTAATACATTCAGGTCATTCTGTTTGAAACACTTTTATGATCTAAATTGATTCCTGATGGAGAAAAATGAAGTGCTACGTTGTTTCATTGTTGAATATTGTACATTTTGTCACATTATGGAAGTGAAATTGGTTTGGTTTCAAACAAGGATCCTTATGAATATTCTCACCCTCTTGAATATTCAAAAATACATTCGTGAATGTAGTGTTATAATTATTTGTCATCTTAAAATAGTGCCGGTCATTTATCTCATCTTTCCATATTTCCTCTGGTCACGATGACGAGCGTCTGGATGAACGTGTTCATTTTGACCTTTACCCTTAAAATCGATCCGTGACCCGCTGAGTTTAACTCAAAGGACACTTTTATTGTCTCTCTCTATAATGAGCTCGCAGGCACACTGGTTTTGACTGGACACCTTCAAATAGACGCTCTGATAACACCCAGATGATCAGCTGAGAAAACAAATGAGAAGTGCTGCTGTGGCCAATTGATTCTGAATGTGTTGATTTGCATGCATTTAAAAGTCATGCCTTTCATCTGTGAAATTAGACAGTCAGGTGTGTGTCTTTTCTTATGGCGTGCTCACGCAGACAGGGGATTGTTGTTTTTGCTAATGATGAATTGTTTTAAAGACTGGCACGGTTCTAAGCCTTGATTGTCTCCTCAAAAGGGTGCAATTATTGTGTCTGAATTGTGCTATACATTGTTGAATATTATCCAAGGGATTTTACCAAAGTGAGAGGCTAAAAGAGGACCTATTATGCGTTTTTAAATTTGACATTTTCTATAGTGTGCATTACAATGTTGCTGTTTGAGCATTAAAAAGGTCTGCAAAGTTACAAAGCACAAAGTCACTCTGACGGCAGTTATTCCCTATATCAGTGCGCACTGTTTCTGAACTCCCTGAAACGCCTCCATTGTAGTCTTGAGTTTTTTTCCGGAAACATAATCACAATGTTCCTCATTTAAATAATTCCCGCACAAGGCGTATGCAAATAAAGGGGTCTGGTTGAGTTAGTTAGTAGTGTGTTGAAACTCGCAGTTATGGTAAGGGGTGTTAAATTTCCCAAACACGCTCGAAGTGATTGACCAATCACAACACACTGATCCAGCCGACCAATCGTCTGGATCAGAAGGAGGAGCTTCATAGAGACAGGAACTAAACAGAGCGTTACTGACAGACTAAGAGAAGAGAGGTGCCGCAACAATGTCAAATATATGAAAAATTATGTTTCTTGAACATTCATTCAAGCATGAAAACATTCTAGTAGAGCCCAAAAACTAAATCAAGCATAATAAATCGTCTTTAACTTGGAGAAGATTTGCTCTCTTCACAGAAACAGTCAGGCGTTTGAGGAGGGGATGGAGGTGGAGAAGTGTTTGACTGGACCGGCAGAGCTCTCTATAGACGCTGCCACACTCGAAGCCAACGGCTGCACGCCCACGAGCCCAAGCTGCACACTCGCAGGAGATAAAGGCGCTTCATCACACACTCTTTGCTCTTTACCCGAGGTGTGTGTGTGTTTGCATACTACATATAAACTACCATTCAAAGGTTTGAGGGGTGTACGATTTTTTAATACCTTTGAAAGAATTTTCTTATGCTCAACAAAGTTGAATTTATTTGATAAAAAAAAACAGTTATATTGTGAAATTTTAACAATTTTCTATTTGAATATATTGCAAATGTAATTTATTCCTGTGATCAAAGCTGAATTTTCAGCATCATTACTCAAGTCTTCAGTGTCACATGATCCTTCAGAAATCACTCTAATATGATGATTTGCTGCTCAAAAAATATTTCTGATTATTATGAGTTTTGTTAACAGTCGTGCTGCTTCATATTTTTGTGTAAACCATGATAATAATTCTTTTTTTTTTTTAGGATTCTTTGATTAATGGAAAGCTCAAAAGAACAGCATTCTTTTATTTGAAGTATAAATCTTTCGTAACATTATAGTAAATGACCCGAAGCATGTGCTCAGTGCATCTCACGGGTCTAAAAGCTTTATATTTCAGAGTCTGAAAAGTCAGCTCACTGTATATGTTCCAAACATCTGTCACAGCAAATGACGATAAACTGCTGTAAGTGACTTCACATTGGTTGGAAACATTTGTTCATGTGAATCTCAATGTTTTTCGACAGGTTATTATAGGTCTTTCACTGTAAACTGGCTTTTTGTTGATTTTAAACATATTGACACATGCATAATTGTACTGTATCCTGATGTTTCTTCCATTTAACAGTTCTTTACGAATGGGGAAATATTATATTTCAGGAGCAGCAGGACTATCTCTGCTGTTATGACTGCTTTTGCTATTAGTGGTACTTTCTCCCGTCACATCATGTGCTCTTTGTTTGCTGTGTAGTTCCTCAGTTCCCCCTCATGTGTCTTCTACACATATTATTGATGTGTCTTCTACACATATTATTGTACTGTAGTTCTATACTTCAGTTCTATAATTTCTCTATCTTTGTCGATACATATAATTCTATACCCTACTCTTCGGTACTCCTCTTATATAAATTCTACTTTTCTTATCTTTACTCTTCTTTATTATGTTTTCATATGCTCTTCTATACCAACTTAACTATAGTCCAATAATTTTCTCATCTAAAGCTATTTTGTGTTTTCAAGGTGCACACAAAGAGCCAACACGACGAGTCTGATCGGCCACAGAAGAAGCGTATCTTGCCAGCCTGGATGATGACGTCAGCATCCACAAGCCCGTCAACCTCCAAAGGTACCGTCACTATGGCGATGGAACGCTGTCCCCATGGCAACAGAATCAGGGGTCTGTTTATTCACACCCATACAGAAACAAACCCCACATCTGTCAAGTGTCCGGTCATCACAGTGATTGTCCTCAGACTTTTTTTGAGGGATAAATTGGAAAAGGCAGAGAGAGTTAGTCGCTTTTAGGGTTGGGTACCGAACTCTGTACTTTTAATGGTTTACTTTTAATTAGGGGTGGGCGCTATACCGGTATGAACGTGACTACCGGTATTATGTTGTACCATGATATGGATTTTGCGATACCGAGAATACCGTTAGATATTCATAAATACAAATTTTGTAGTTATATTGTTTTGTTCAATTTGGTACTCTTTACAACGTTAAAATAACACTACTAATGACGATACAAAATCGAGGCTGAACTTAATCTTTTCCTCTTGTGTCCAACTCGCGTGATGCACAGGCATTAATAATCAAACACTGAGAGCATGGTAACAGTCCAGTGTTTCCCACCACACACAGACTAATTCGCGGCGGTGCGCCACAGAATCAACACCGGCCGCCACATAATGCGTTTCGTTATTATTATTATTCTTTTTTACGCTATTTAAAACACGCAGTGTATTCGTTCTCTGTCACTGTGACAGTGTGTCACTCCGTCTTGTCACACTCGTGCCTCTCGCACACGCGCACACACACACACACACACACACACACACACACACACACAGCGTCTGTCTATGAGGCGCCGGACGGGATAAAAGCGAAGCGAACTCCGCGATCGACAGCGAGAGAGACCGCGTGTGTCCGAGCATTAGTAAATTGATACATAGTAATATATAATTACTATATAAGAGGTATGGAAGTTTGATAAATAAATATATATATATATATATATAAAAACAACAATTAAATTCTCACCACTGAATTAGCAGGATGTAGCCTACTTCTCTCTTTTGGTCAGTATACAAAAACTTCTCGGTTAACATAATGTTGTCTTCAATTAGGCCTAAGTGTCAAACCTCTCTGAAATCACACTATTTCATATTTATTGATTATAACGTATTCAATAAACCAAACTCCAGTGTTACTCATCTTACGAATTATTAACGTAGGAATTATTTGACCCCCGCAAAATAAAAAGTGGAAAGAGATAACTAGTGAATTCAGGCGACCTCATGTTGCACGTTTGCACTTTTTGAGAAAAACAATGGCACAATAAAAAAAGATTTTTCAGGTCTATGTCCAATTAAATCCCTCACCTTTTTCTAGTAATAGGGTTAAAATACATATTTTGCCTGTAATTTAACTAAGGTGTACTAAAATGTGATTCCAAATTTTTTTTCTCATATCGCAATATAATATCAATATCGTCCGGACAGTGAAAAATATCGTGATATGAATTTTTGCTCATATCGCCAACCCCTACTTTTAATACCGATTCACATTAAATCAATCGGTGCCAAATTTCTGTACCTGAGAAGGCACCTGGGCGCGAGAGTAAGACTATTTAAATACGAATCCTGAATGTCTCTGTGTGAATGAGCGGTGCAGACGCGCGGTTTCATTTACACACACACATTTACACACATTTACACACACACACGCACTGAAGCACGCGTGACGCTCGCGGTGTTTTTCAGCCTCTCCAGTCTCACTATATGAGAACATGAATGCATTTGAAGTTCATCAGCATTTTACAGTTTCATTTAAGAAAAACTATCGTTATGTCATTAACACACGGAAACTCAAAGGTCTTCACCACAACCCGTCAAAATAAAGTTCGGTTTAACTTGATAATATATTACTGTTGTACATTAGAATTGAGATATCTCAATTTAATAATAATACTAACACTAATAATAATAAATTATTATCAAAAATGTATTTTTTAAGGAATAATTACTCCTTTTCTTCTATGTTGTAATTTGAACAGTGTAAAGCTCAGTTGTGCCGCATGTTGTTTGACAAAAAAGTTTAATTTCATATAAAAGATCAATTAAATTAATGTTTTATGTCTTCATTTGATTACTAGAAAATTCACAACACAGAATTTGTGGAAAACAAAACATTTAATAGAAATTCTTTTCTTTTTTTTATTACTAAAATGGTTGTTTTTATTAATATTCAAGCATCACAGACAATGGCAGACAGCGACCAAGGCATCTCTGGCATAATGTCAATAACACTTCTACAAATGACTTAGTTTCTTTACAGTTATTGAGGTAAACATGCCTAAAGTACCGAAAAAAGGTACCATTTGGTACCGGCACCGAATTTCAGGTACCGGTTAAAATGTGAACGATACCCAACCCTAGTCGCTTTCCACTTGTGAAATCAGTTACAGTGCTGTTACTCCAACCCAGCCGGACTGGGTCCAGATTCGGCCCAGATGTCCTTCTCATCCTCAAGGCTTCTCGGATGAATTCTGCAGCTCTCCAGAAATGGGGATGGATTGCAAAAGAGCAAGTAGCCTACAGACTTCATAAGCACATCATTAGCACCACACCTGTCATATTCAGCTCTCCATCTGGATCTCGTGGCACTGCAACACTTTCTTATTCAGCTCATGTAGGTGCAGATTTGTGTCTTTAGCAGGCATGAGTCTTCATCTCTCTATTGTATGATGGCCAATACAGTGGACAGATCTTTAAACACCTTTTTTTTTAACCATTCAGGGTGTGTTGTTACATCCTTACACATAATGTTTTAGCACTGTCCTTGTGTTTTTGTATTTATATATGACAACATAAAATCATAAACAAAAACTAAACATCAACATAAACGATCATTCAAAAGTTATTTATATATGACAACATAAAATCATAAACAAAAACTAAACATCAACATAAACGATCATTCAAAAGTTTGGGGTTGATAAGATTTTTTAAAGTGTGTGAAAGAAGTCTCTTCTGCACAGCAAGGCTGCATTTATTCGATCATGTAGTAAAATGTAATTTATTCCCGTGATCAAAGCTGTATTTTCAGCATCATTACTCCAGTCTTCAGTGTCACATGATCCTTCAGAAATCACTCTAATATGATGCTCAAGAAACATTTCTGATTATTACCAATGTTGAAAACAATGTTCAGCTGATTAATATTTTGTGGAAAAAGTAATCTTTTTTTCTTTAATGATTAGAATAATGAACAGGTCAAAAGAATATTTTTTTTGAAAACCTTTATAACATTATAAATGTCTTTACTGTCACTTGTGATTAATTTAATGCATCCTTGTTGAAATAAAAGTATTAATTTCTTTAAAGAAGAAAAAAGCTACTCACCCCAAACTTTTGAATGGTAGTTTTCCCCCCCACATAATATGTAAGCGTAGTTTTGGCTGTCAGTAGGACTCCAGTTCAAAACATCTGCTATTATTTTCTGTCATGTGTTTCTGAGCACAAGCATGTCGGAGACTGAAACCCCAGTTTTAAACAAGTAATGGAGGCTTAACACTTAACGTGATTTGGAAAGACTGACTCCTGAGGCATGCACTAGTTGTACTGTTCTCTCTGTCTGCAAAACATCAATCTCATCTCTCATCTCTGACCTTCTCAGTGCTACAGGTCACATCTGGAGCCCTCTGGGGCCTTTTTCGCTCTCTTGTGGTCGTACAGATCGTACAATGTGTCACATGATTTGAGAAAAAAGCGATTTTTTCCTGCACCTTTTAACTTGCATTATAACTTGCAATGTTCAAGCATTGACATTATCCGTCAATTAATCTTCTTTTTTTCACGTTCTTTGGAGCTCAGCAGTGAGAGGGACTCCTACCAAACCCAAACGAGTAGCTGCACCAAAGCGGGCAACTGGACCCAGCCGAGCTCGAGCCGCACAGCTGTCATCTGAGGAAGAGGAGCCGGAGGAAGAGAAGCCCAAGAGAAAAACAAAGAGACTGAAGAGTGACTCTGAAGAGGAGTCGGTTCCTCTGGTATCTCTGGTGAGAGAAATTATAGTATATTCATATATTATTAATTAATATGCGAGTATAAAAAGAAGAATTGTGATTCTTAATCATTTGAAATGGCCTGTAGACTGCAAGTTTTAAATTTTTCATTAATAATAACAACAACAACAACATCAATAATAATAGTTTGGAATGACATGCATATTGCAAGTTTTAAAAAAAACTTGGTGGAAACATACTATTTATTAAATAAAATTTATAATATCACATTTCACTGCTTATTTATGTGACTTATCATTTGCTGTTACTGTATAAAATATATTGTATAATATATATATATATATATATATATATATATATATATATGTATGTCATACATTTAATATAAAATAGTATAAACTGTAAAAGGTATGCACATGCCAAACACTACATTTTTGGATACATAATAATATTAATTAATATTAAATTAAAAATTAGTTCCCACGACTTACTAATGCGGCAGCACGTTTTACTAATTCGTTCCCTAGTTTTATGTAAATCCTGCACACGATATAATAATTTGTGCCCTCGGTTTAGTAAATCGTGGGCACGTTGTAATAATTAGTTTGGTTGTTTTAGTTATATCAAAATGAGGGAACAATTTAGTAAAACGTGGCCAGGATTTACTAAATCAAGGGAACCAAATATTATATCATATGCATGATTTAGTAAATTGAGGGAACACATTATTATATCATGTGCACAATTTATTTAATACGAGGGAACGGCATAATAAATCATGGCCACGATTTGCTAAAACGAGAGAACAAATTCTTAATTTGTGGCCACGATATGTAGCTTTTTTGTCCGCATATCATGTGCAGTAGCCTCGTGAGACCATCCTGATCTCGCGAGCTTTCAAGGTTTCACTCGCAGATCAGTCTGGATACTTTCCGTTAAAGAAAATTTGGGAGCAGTTCACCAAACGAACGTCCAATCAGCGTTGGCTTTGAGGCGGGTTGAGGTGTGACGCAACGAGAAGCGCGTCAGTTCAGTCTAAAGAACATGTCGGCTTCAGCGGATGAAACTAGCATCAGCGTGGCTATCGAGCAAGTTTTATCGGAATTACAGAGTATTTCTTCACTGAAAGAAGAGCAAAACACTGCTCTGGAGGCTTTTCTCAGAGGAAAAGATACGCTCTGTTAGTACGTCATATGCTTCGTTGATCTGATTGGTTGATTTGGCCCGTCTATCACCAACATAGGCCAATCAGCTAACCAGTATTTTCGCCCCTTACCAAAACTACTTCAACGGAAGGTTTCCAGATGGATATGCGGAGCAAATCCATCTGGCGGAGTCAGGTTACATGTGCAGGGCTCCGTAGTAAAACCTGGTAGAGATGTATACATGAATTGTCCCATATATAGCTAATACCTGAATTGTGTTGCATTGAAATGGGAGTATTTACTGTGTGTACACGGATGTCCTGACAGGATGATGCCGCAGCTCCCAGGACCAGTAGAGTCAGAACAGTCCCAGACGGAGAGAACAGCACCGGTTTGATGGAGCGGGATGATGGAGAGACGAAAGGAGATGAGGTCGGACGAGGAGCTCAAGCTGAAGATCCCAGTGATTCTCAGGCCAGCCAGGGACCCTCGCAGAGGTCAAAGATCACGGAGGCCGAGAGCAAAACAAGCATTAGTGAGGTGAAAAAACAGCGGCGGATGCGGTGTGCTTACGGCAGCTCCTGCTACAGGTACTTCGATGAACTTCTGCTTTTTAAACTCTACTGTCAAGACCGCGTTCAGACATTCTGTCTATAATGCCATAAATATATAACTCGAAATATTCCTTGAAGATCAACGCTGCACATGTTAATTAGTTTCATGTAGTTGATATTATCTCAAGTTAAAATACTACAAGAGGATTAAGACTGAAACAGTCACAAGCAAAAGCTCCTCCGAGATGTTTAATATGCGTAAATCTGCGACTGAAATGGTTTGCGTGGTATTTCAAAGACATATGCACATGTTTTCCTGTCTGGTTCTCTGATGTTTATTTAAAATACCAAAAAGCTGAGAGATAAAAACACCAAATCTGTATTTTAGCTGGAGGGTGCCATCCTCAAACGCCAAGGTGAAGCTTGACATTACCTTGTAAACCATTTACATTTGTACCCAGTTCGGTTTTCATCTTTGAAAACGCAGTTCGAGCTTTCATAAATTATTATTTTTTGGTTCATTCCCCTCCAAACTTTTCTTTAGAAACAGTCATAAATAAGTAAAAGCATCATCTCTAACTGACAGCAGTTGTAATTGATCAATTACTCTTTGAGAGTTTCTTTCTGTTGACAGTTTAATAAAAAATATTCCTGTTATGAATGTTCACAGAATGATAACGACAATCGGAAATGATGAACAGAAACTTTCAATTTCCAACTAGATTAGCTGTCAGTCAGTGTGATTAAGTTGCATGAATGCTCGTGATTGAATTTATTTGATTTATTGTGTTCCAGCATGCATTGCAGTTCACTCAGCACTCAGTTCACTGTGTTTTTCCTCTCTCCAGGAAAAATCCACTCCACTTTCAGGAGTGCAGTCACCCCGGAGACAGTGACTTTGAGGAGGAGGAGGAAGAAGAGGAGGAAGAAGAAGAGGACGCTGATGATGACAGGCCGGAGTGTCCGTACGGTACCGACTGCTACAGGTGACAACAAATGAGATTAAAAACACCACCATACTTCATTTAAATATTTATTTTTAGTTAGAAGTTTATTAAAGTTTTTGGGTTTTTGAGAGAGTTCAGAGACTATTAAAACTGTTACTTTCAGAACTCAAAACATTTATTGAAACTTAGATACAAAAAAATGACTTGTTCTGAAATACTTTTTTAATTTCATACAAAATCTGAGACATTAAAGGGTTAGTTCACCCAAAAATGAAAATGATGTCATTAATGACTCTCCCTCATGTCGTTCCAAGCCCGTAAGACCTCCGTTCATCTTCGGAACACAGTTTAAGATATTTTAGATTTAGTCCGAGAGCTTTCTCTCCCTCCATTGAAAATGTATGTACAGTCCTTGTCCAGAAAGTCAAGTCAAGTCATCTTCATTTATATAGCGCTTTTAACAATGGAGATTGTTTCAAAGCAGCTTTACAGAGATAAACATACAATTTACGGTAATAGAGATTGTTTTGGCTTTATAGCGATTTTGAATAATGTTATTTCCAGCTAAAGTTGGTTTTGATGGATTCACTTCCATCAAAATTATCATTTGTTATTACATTAGGGGCCACTAAGACGACGGCGTTCTCTCTAAACAGACTTTAAGCGCGAACCTGTGACCTGATGGCGTTCACATGCGCATTCAAAATTGATTCTATAGTTATATTCGTTTTTGTTACGAAGAAAGAAAGGAAATAAAGACATCATCAAAGTAGTCCATGTGACATCAGTGGGTTAGTTAGAATGTTTTGAAGCATCAAAAATACATTTTGGTCCAAAAATAACAACAACTACGACTTTATTCAGCATTGTATTGTCTTCCGGTTCTGTTGTGGATCCGCGTTCAGTGACACCGCTGACGTAAGACGCTGCTGACGTGTGTCTGGTGCGTCCGAGCTTCGTTTACAGTCTGAGGGAGACGCACGCTGGAAACAAAACAATCTTCGCACACATGTCTAAGGATTTCAACACAGAGGAAGACTTGCATTTTTTTGCCCAGCCATATTTATTTGAACCCGAATACACGGACGCACCAGATAACACGTCAGCAGCGTCTTACGTCAGCAGCGGCACTGAACGCGGATCCACAACAGAACCGGAACACAATACAATGGTGAATAAAGGCCTAGTTGTTGTTATTTTTGGACCAAAATGTATTTTTGATGCTTCAAAACATTCTAGCTAACCACACTGATGTCACATGGACTACTTTGATGATGTCTTTATTTCCTTTCTGGACAAGGACAGTACACCGTACATACATTTTCAATGGAGGGACAGAAAGCTCTCGGACTAAATCTAAAATATCTTAAACTGTGTCCCGAAGATGAACGGAGGTCTTACGGGCTTGGGACGACATGAGGGTGAGTCATTAATGACATCATTTTCATTTTTGGGTGAACTAACCCTTTAACTTAAAGGGATAGTTCACCCTTAAATTAAAATTCTGTCATAATTTACTCGCCCTTAAGTTGTTCTAAACCTGTATGAGTTTCTTTCATCCTTTAACACAAAAGGTTATATTTAGAAGAATGTTGGTAACCAAACAGTTTCGGGTCCCCATTGACTTCCATAGTATGAAAAAAAATAAGTGAATGATGACAAATTTTCATTTTTGGGTGAACTATCCCTTTAAGGCGGTCCACTTTTACACGTCTATATAGGAAACATTAAAAGTGGAGCTTAGGAAGAAAAACTGAAGGCAAGGCGCTAAATTGAATAGGGTGAACAGTTTATTAATCACAATACATTTTCTGAAATGTTCTGGTTTGAAGATGTATGCAAATTAGTGCAGAAGTCCAAACTGGATAAAGCCAGGCTTAAAATTCTTGTTTCATTTTGTTGCCAGATTATAGATTCGGATCTTTATCTATAAAGATTTTTTTTAATCTCTTTTTATTACTCAATAAATCATAAAATATGTCTTCAGGAACCCCCCGTAAAATCCTCCAGAATGTAGATAAGAATTAGATTAATCGATCTTTTAACGATTAATTGAAAGAGCGTACTTAATACTTTATTCATCTAGTAATGAAACAAGTATTTGAGTCATTGAATCATTCACTCGAGATTCGTTTAAAAAAAAAACGCTAATTCTTCTGGTAATGAAGCAAGTGAAATCTTTTTGAGTGAGTAAATTATTACAGTAAATTACTTGTTACTTTGTTTACGGTAGTTGTCTAGTTAGAATCGGGATCTTTATTTTAAACAAAAAATTGTGATTCTCAGTTTATCGAGAATTGTGCAGCTGTTATAGGAATAAAATGAGAAAAAGGTTCAGTGTACGTAAGTACTACTGAAGTGGAGATTTGTGGCTCAGTGCAGGAGAAAAATCTTAGCATTGTAATTGAAATCTAGCATTAGTTTAAAGTGTGTTCTGTGTGCTTGTCTCAATGTTTTAGGAAGAATCCACTTCACAAGAAAGAGTACAAACACACTAAATCACCACGTGAGTATATTTTTACATGTGAATTAATGTGAACTCTCTGCCACAATTACATACTTGGAGACCTTGAAGGGTTTGTTCAAATCTCTAGCTCTTAAGTATAACAATAATAAAAGTGATGCTTACCTTAGAAGACTCCACTAATTGAGAGTAAGAGGTTTCTATCTGTCCTCCTTAAATTCAAACTGAATATAATGTTGTATTTACTTCCTCTTGGGATCCTGGTTGGCAATGTAGAGAAATGGATTTAGTGAGTCACTCTCCAGAATTCAGTTATTGGTGCCAAAATAGTTTTTTTGGGTAATATGTCATTTTATGACTGCTCGTGCTAAATCACCACATTATTGCTTTTCAAATGTGAAATAAATAGTTTTTATCTAAGAAGGAGAGGAGAAATATTAATTGCACTTTCCAAAATGCAGATCCCAAGTCCTAAAAAATGCCACCAGTCTTTCTTCCCTGTCTGTCCTCTCCTTTCCTCTGTCCTGTCTCATTTGGATTGATAGACCAATCAATCACGAGCAGCGTGAAATTCCACTGTAGGCCGCGGTGTTTATGTGAGAGGTGTGAACCAAGATTATCATCCTCTGGACTGTTTTCAGAAGTACACTGCGTTTTTCCTGCATTTATGTTTCCTTTAGGAATAAATTGTGCAGTGGAAACTAGAAAAAGCTAGGCTATGTGAGCCATTTGATTTAGTCACATAAATCTCCAGTCATATATCTCAAATGACCAAGCGCTTGGTTGATATTTACATTTATGCATTTGGCAGACACTTTTATCCAAAGCGACTTGCATTGCATTTCAAGGTACACAATTTACATTCTTATCAGTTCTTGATATTCAAATTTAGCACATTGGATCTAAGGACAGGCAGAGAAAATTAAAAAAACTAAAATCAAAAATCACTAAAATCTTATTGTATTTCGTCAACTAAAACTAGACTAAAACTAAAACAATTCAGATGATTAAAATATGACTAAAATTAGTTTGTCATATTTTTAGTCAAAAGACTGAGACTAAAACTAAATCAAAATTTGCTGTCAAAATGAACACTGCTGTATGTAACTTCTCCGTATTGTATTTTTCCTCAAAAGTTTCATTTGTCAACCACGATTATTATGATTTTCGATGTTTATTGTTCAGGGGTCTCTCAGTTCCCCATATTCCCAGCATGGAATAAGTAGCTAGCTAATGTTAAAACACAACTTAACATTGTTCGGCAAACTTTCTCGTGGCCTACTGAAATGTTTTTATTTTTCACACCTGCTTGGCTTATCATCTTTTACCCATTCCACATTTGAAAAATAAATGAACACAAGTTGAAGGAATTTGTTTATCTTTGCTGGTAGGGACGTGAAATAGGTATTCATTTTTTATATAAATGGTCTTAAAAAGACTTGAATTTAACTTGAAGAAACCTGTAGGAACCCTGAATAGTGTAAAGTCAATCAGCTCTATCACATAATCTACCACAAAACTGCATTTTTCTCCCAGTAAAATCCCTGTTATATAAGTGGATCAGCCTGAAGTGAGTCATGTTGAAGGCTCTCTGACATCTTCACTGTAAAGCAGTGCGTCTTCATCCTCGTCTGAAGGGTTTGGTTTTTTTTTTGTATCTGTAATTTAGTTAAAAATAGCTAGGTGGTCGTATCGGTCATCACTCGGGTTTAGCTATCTCATCTCTGTTTGCATACAGCCCTCGACGAAAGTGTGATAAACAGTTTCTCTTCTCGGAGATGTGAACGCTTTGACATTCTGAGCTGAGGAATAATTGATACGTTTATTGTTCCAACTCCTGCATATTTAACACCCGCAAATCCGTGCGTCCCGCTGAAGCCCAAATCTGAATAATTTTCCATGGGGACTGAATGAGCGTAATGTTTGGTGAGGACATTTATCATAATTAAACTGCTCTTAAACTAATTGAGAACATGCTGTGTGAACCCTGAGGAGGAACACTACACCGTGATGGTTCATTATTAGCAGTCACTGATGCTTCACGAAGTCACAGACTGTTTAGCTTATTTTTCTCCAGAAAACGGTGTAGTGCTTTCTGGACGCCTCCCAAAAACCAGGCCCAGAACCACAGATGCTTGAAGCTGTTTTCAGAACATTTTCCTTCTCAGAAAATCTTACAAATTGAAGCTTGTAACCGCATTACTGTGCAAGATGTTCTTCTTAAGCCCTGTTTACACTGTCTTGGGTGCTCACGAGGGGTCGGTGCGAAATGCAGGTGTAAACAGCTCCAAAATGTTTAATTCAAACCACGTTTCATGTTGTTCTGTTTCCCCAGCTAAGACCGTAGCTGAAGAGGATGAAGATCACTACGAAAACAGTTTTATTAATGACGAGAGTGAGGAGGAAGAGGTGGATGAAGACTCGGACTATGTGCCCGAATCGGACGACAGTGGAAAAGGAGAGGACTTTAAACAGCTGCAGAAAGAGGCAAAAGCCTTCCTCAGGAGGAAGAAGTGACTCGTTTGGGGTAGATTACATGAAAACCACTTCTTCACACTAATCTCACAAAGACTGAGGAACATCTGACACTGGGTTTGACAGAATCCATGTCCATGGAGGCATTTTATTCAGTTTTAGATTACCTTCAATACCTTTTTCCTTCGCATTTTAAAGAATGGATCACCCAGAAAAGAATGTAGGTTTTTTTTTTTTTGGAGATTGGCATTTAATGATCATCTACTTTCATTGTAAATGACGACACAATTTTTGTTTTTGGGTAAACTATTTCTTTAATTCTAACTGAATCTTACTGTCTTCACAATCTGCTGTTTTTTTTTTTTTTTTTACCTTTCTCTTATCCCGTCCTGTGAGTGTTTTTTGCTGCTGGGTTTGACAGAATCCCTGTCCATTGAGGCATTTTATTCAGTTTTATATTACATTTATTACCCTTTTACTTTCACATTTTAAGAAATAATTTTAAATTATGAGCTGTAATGAGCTTGGCATTACGTGATCACCATCTCTTTTCCTTGTAAATGATACTATTTAAATTTGACCCTTTAACTCTCACTGAATCTTATTTTCTTTGCAATCTAATGTTTGTTTGTTTTAATAGCCAACTTATATACTTTTATACTCTTATCCCAGCCTGTCTTATCCTGTCTGTGAGTGTTTGTATAGATGCTATGTTGTAAGTCTCTTTTTTTGTTCATTGTATGAATTCAGTTAATTATAGTTGTGTGGGCTTTTATTTTCACTGTCCGGCTGTTTATTTCTACTGCCGGGTCTTGATTGAACCGAGGTTTAAAGTAATAGAAAAAATAAACCGATGAACCAGTAGCAACAGTTAGTTCAGTAACACAATTTCTAAAATGCTTTTTAATTGCTACAATTGCACAAATACATTGGTCATATATATATATATATATATATATCTGCCAGTGACATTTTTAGAGCAACAGCAAAGGTCATTGCTGCTTTGAGTTTGGCATCCTAACTGAAATGGAACCTTAAGTGAGCGATTTGGAATATTACTTAAGCCATAAGTAGTGTTCCAAATAATGTTCCAAATAATGTTCCAAATAATGTTCCAAATAGTGTTCCAAATCGCTCACTCTGGGTTCCATTTCAGAATGCTATTTGAATGATTCACGGAGTTACTCCCTATAGTCTTTACAACAAATACACACGTCTATAGACTGAATAATACGGATGCGCATGACGTCACCATTTTCACAAATTCACATTTTTGTAGGTTACACAGGGACGACAACGTTATCTTTTTTAAAAACGTGCACTTTGAATCCCATTTTCAAAAGTTTGCCTTTTCAGGCCCCCAAAATGGCTTTGCTGTTGTGTAAATGAACGGTTTTCTGTTTTTAGTTGAAAATGGTGTCGTGTAAATGGCTTAGGGAGTAACTCATAACAAAGAGCGCTCTTTTCAGTGCACAGGATAAGACAGCTATTGATACTTTTTGGTATTGAATAAGCATTGCCTTGTTTGATGCAGCTTTAAAGTTTGGCCAAAACAAAGTATCTTAGAAGGCAGCCTACATTTTAGAAGAGCATTCACATCGGAAGGACATCTTTGATACCTTAAAATGCTGTTAGATAGGCAGCTCGCATGGTTTTTGAACACAGCCTCTGAAAGCAGAGACATCACCAAGAATCACTTCTGTATTTCATTTCTGATTCTAGCCAGAACCCTGTGGGCTGCAGTTTTATAGAAAGTGTTTCAGAGATTATGTTATTATCTGTGACTGAGCAAGAACAAATGACTAAATGGAGAAGAGAACAAACAGGCCTTAAACAGGAAATCCATGACTTTGAGAAATGGCTCTTTCCAAGTCTTTATGCATTAAGAGTCTGAAACCGTTCAGTTTAGAAATCACAAATAAACATCTGAGCATGAAGATGTGTGGGAGTTTTTGTCCTGTGGAATATCTTGGACTTCTGTCTGTTTATAAAGCTCATTGTTGCACTTGTCTGTTGATGGAAAGCATTGTTTCTGTTTTGTCAGATAAAGCAACAACACCCAGAATCAAGCTCGTGTTTGTGATCCTCGTAAGTGATTGATTTGGAACGACTCCATGTGCCACATTGGGAGAGTTGACTCATGATTGATTGGCACATGTGAAATTACTTGACAATTATGAAGAATCTCCAACTGTGAGGTCGAAACTTGGAGTGTATGCTTGGATCAGGGCTTATTTTCTGATTAAGACCAGCGTGTGTGTGTGTATTCTGAATATGCACTATATTCCAAGTCTTTTGAAGTCGCACAATAGCTTTGTAAAATGTAAGATACTGTCTTAAATGATGGGCTGTTGCTCACACAAAGCTGTCATGTGACTTTATAATACTTAGCATAAGTCATATAGAATAGAATACTTTCATGATGCGTTTGATTTTTTTTTTGTTCTTTTTGTTATTTGTTTCTGTTTGTTTTTTTTGGGGAGATTGGCATTAAATTATCACCATCTGCTTTAATTGTAAATGATTTTAATGTTTGGGTAAACTATTCCTTTAACTGTCACTGAATCTTACTTTCTTTGCAATCTAATTTTTGTTGATCAAAAACAGTGATTGAGAACTGATTCTGAACTGCCTTAAACGAGTCGTCAGCCATTCCAGTCTCGCATCCTACACAAACCTACGTAGGTTTGTAACAAATTTGCATAATGCCAGCCTATGGTCTTCATTGTCTGCCGGCGAAAAACGTCCACTTTGACCCTCAAACACTAGCTGAGCCCTGAAAGAGTTGCCTCGTGTTGTCGACATGTTGAGAAGAAACTGTTTTCTTCGTTGCCAAAGCAAATCCACTTTGCATGCACTTCTAAAGGATTTGGACTCTGGCTGGATATGATATGGAAAAACTGACGGCATTGTTACTGTTCGTATCACTGTGTATCAAGTGCTATGGAAGATCTGGAGCTGAAATTCAGATATGGTAATTAGCTTTTCGTTTCCGACATGTGCTGTAAGCGGTCGACCAATCACAACAGACTTGGCCATCTGACCAATCAGAGCAGAGTAGACCAATCATAACAGACTGGGCCATCTGACCAATCAGAGCCGAGTAGACCAATTACAACAGACTGGGCCATTTGACCAATCAGAGCCGAGTAGACCAATTACAACAGACTGGGCCATCTGACCAATCATAGCAGAGTAGACCAATCACAACAGACTGGGCCATCTGACCAATCAGAGCAGAGTAGACCAACCACAACAGACTGAACCATCTGAACAATCAGAGCAGAGTAGACCAATCACAACAGACTGGGCCATCTGACCAATCAGAGCAGAGTAGACCAACCACAACAGACTGGGCCATCTGACCAATCAGAGTAGAGTAGACCAATCACAACAGACTGGGCCATCTGACCAATCAGAACAGAGTAGACCAATCACAACAGACTGGGCCATCTGACCAATCAGAACAGAGTAGACCAATCACAACAGACTTGGGCCATCTGACCAATCAGAGCAGAGTAGACCAATCACAACAGACTGAACCATCTGACCAATCAGAGCAGAGTAGACCAATCACAACAGACTGGGCCATCTGACCAATCAGAGCAGAGTAGACCAATCACAACAGACTGGGCCATCTGACCAATCAGAGCCGAGTAGACCAATCACAACAGACTGGGCCATCTGACCAATCAGAGCCGAGTAGACCAATTACAACAGACTGGGCCATCTGACCAATCAGAGCCGAGTAGACCAATTACAACAGACTGGGCCATCTGACCAATCAGAGCAGAGTAGACCAATCATAACAGACTGAGCCATCTGACCAATCAGAGCCGAGTAGACCAATTACAACAGACTGGGCCATCTGACCAATCAGAGCCGAGTAGACCAATTACAACAGACTGGGCCATCTGACCAATCAGAGCGGATCCTTTATCAAACTGTTTCATATGCTGTGAGAATAGGTGTTTTTATTTATTTATTTTTTTACCTTGGATGCATGTAAACCTATTGTTGGGAGACCTCAAAAACAAAATTAGGAGCCTTTAAAATAGCATAATATGGGCATAATATGGGTTAGTACAATTAAAGTGGTCCACTTTAGCCGAACTATAGTGCTGGGTGAAAGTTTCAACATCAGGCTGTTAGTCCATAAAAGCAGGATCTGAAGAACCTCAGTCTGGGTTGAATTGAGACTCTTTCTCAGGGCGATCTTCCTACAATCAGTGCCAGATGCCCTTCCCACTGTCTCCACACCACGGCCATTATTCCAGTTCCCTTTATTCTACGGAGGAGAGAAAATTGTTTCTTTCTGCTGTCGGTCTGAAGTTATTAAACACAGTGGGAGAGATATTTTGTCATGACAGTTGCTAGTTGTGCTTGCTTATGAAATGAGCCAGACATTTAGTCGCTCTGGAAACAATTACTCTGTTCCAACACTGCTGCAAATGTAAAGTTTGTTCTAAAAGGTAGGTAGCATAATTATACTGCCATCTAAAATTGCTTACTTTGGCCAAATTCTAGCACTGCATGTGTCCTCCGCAGAGAAGCTAATCCCGTAATGCAACACGTTGGAAAACATCCATCTAAGATGGTAAACGAAGAGAAATTTTAATTGCATTTCATTCAGTATTGAAGTTGACTAATTGTGTGCTGCATATTTTTATGCTTTGTGTAGCATGTCATTATCTTAACAACATGCTAACACTAAGCTCTTTTCTGAAATCATGCAAATGCTTGAGCATAAATATAAATGATTATTTTCATTCTGACCCTCTGCCTGAAATGATCAGTTTTTAAGGTGCGGCTTCTTTAAGGCTTGTCAGTAAACGCCACTGTTATGATTGGCTAACGTCATTGCATAGGAAACCGTATCAACCCCAATCACTATCACATGAGAGTAAGTGTTTTGAAAACATCCATATAAAATCGTAATTTACAGACAAAGCATTATGAAATCATTTACTTACAGTTTGTGATGCAGCTGCTGTCAGATCTAGTACAGTCGCTGCTTCATCTGTCGACGCAAGTTTCTTGCGACCTCTCCATTACACTGTGGCTCGTTTACAAAACAAAATGCCCCGAACAAACATATAATCCTCTGACGCGATCCATGACGCCATTAAAAATAAACCATCCACTTGTTTCCAACACTGGG